ATTAGGGCTGGGAATCTGGTCCCCCTATGATGGGTCCAATCCAAAAGTATATTTATTTTGTTGTATTTACTTTTTTTACATTATAACTTTTAATGAACATGGGTTTGGATATTTTCTACATTTTTCTTGTGCAAAACGAGTACGGTTGTGCTTGGATTGAAAGAAGATATTTTGCAATACAATAATATATAATATGGATATTTTGGCACACCCCTAGTACCTAGTTGTGGCCAAACTTGCATGCAAAAGCCAGATCCAGACCTCTGAAGCTGTGCGGTGCAGGGCCTGGTTAGGGAGACCTCTGGAAACACCAGGTGCCACAGTGGGGCGGCTGCGGCTATAAAGTGGCAAACTGCTGTTTGTCCGTTGGCAAGACACTTCACCCCCATTGTATAGAATGAATCTGATGTGTGTGTGAATGGCTGGTGGTGGTCAGAGAAGCCAATGGCACATACTGGTTGCCTCACTTTTGTCAGTGTGCCCTAGGGCAGCTGTGGCTACAGTAATAGTTTATTACCACAGTGTATGGTAGTGTAAGAATAATGACATGTTATGCGTCTTTGTGTGTCCTGAAAAGCGCAATTTAAAATTGATGCATTATTATTATTATTACCCCGATGCCAGTGTCGAGTACATCCCTGAACTGAAAACTATAAATATCAGTGGATATTGACAATAAATAATATGTTCAAAGGGTATTTGAGTGCATGCACAGTGACTAGCTTTGATCAGCCCACACATGTGAGGTTTTGGGTAATTTGAAGAATGTAAACACTACTTAGGTCCTCCATTGTACAGACACTTGAGTGGGTTTCCTGTGGTCCGGGTAACTGTTTAGCTCACCATCGAAGCTTGGGAGGAATTTGAAGTGGGTCGCGACTTTCTAGAAGAATCTTCCGTCCCATGACTTAGACCAAACAACTCAGCACAGTATTATCAGCCCTCGGTACAACAGGCTTATTTCCAACAACCATGGCTTCTTTCAGCTTTCAGTTAGTGATGAGATGACCTAACCCAACAAGTGTAGCAGTGTGTGGTTCAGTGACGTCATAAAAGAAGAATCACGCTATACTCAGATGTGACAGAGCAGGAAGTGCAGTCGCCTGTGGTGGTGGTTCAATGTGAAGGAAAAGATCTCTCAGTCACAGCGTCTTTCAACCCCGATTCTCCAGATCCATCAGATTCTTGTTGACAAAAGTCTGGTCATCTTCCATTTACAGACACAGAAATGTTCATGGTATTAAGATGTTTCACCAGTATGCTGTGTCGAGGTCCGATGCCCCAGAAAAAAAGTTTCACACACATTTATTTCAGTGATTTTTGTTAATACTTCACGAGCAGTTAGTGGACATGTGTGGCTTTAATATGAGCGGCCTTTGTGGGAATGGCTATATTCAAAGTATTAGAGTGTTATTGTCAGACCTGCCAAGAACATTTCCTAAAGCCATTCTAGATATTATATGGTGGCTTCTTTTAGTAATGATTTTTACAGATGTTTGTTTTGACTTGATCCTGTGGATTCAAGTCAATGATGCAATAGCTGTGAAGCCGGAAGAGACTGTAAAGTTACAAATTGTAGTGTAAAAGAATGTAATCCAATTGCAATCCCTTGGAGCTGCTTAAAACCTATTCAGCGACTTTAGTGAAGTTGCCAATGAGCGAGCAAAAGACAGAATGTGCTTTAGCCCCCAGTGATGGCTGCAGTTCAGCTGTATTTCAACTAGGGCTGCAACTAATGATTAAAATCCAAATGTGAAACTATGTTGGTTTGACCCATTATGTCCCAATAAAGGACATTATGAGTGAAAAGATGAATTGTAGATTGTTGATGCTTGATCGGTGCCAATGATGCATCTGGCTGGTTTACCCACGGCTCCAGATGCAAGTACGTTTGCATGTAAAAGAGCCAGTTTCTCTGGAATCATGCACTTGATCTTGTGATTAATGAACTAGAGTATTTCCAGCGAAGGCAAAATTATGTGAACTAGCTATTTTCATTTTAAACTCTGTTTCCCTGTTTTATATGTGACCCCAAATAACAGGTGACAGATTTAAGCAGCTCATCCAATCAGAGTGCAGAATGAGGCTCTCATTTGGGTTGCCAGTTCGTTAGGTGAAATTTTGCGGGTCTTGACTTTCATTTTTTACCACAAAAAAAAGTCACATACAGATAACACCACACATATGACATTTTATGATCCAGTATTTTATTTCCAGAATGGTTGTTTAGCACTCATCCTTTGCATCTGTGGTTATTTTGTGTTTTTACTTTTTTCTAAACAAAATGACATACATTTATGCTTGACTGAAACAGAACTGGACCAATTAATTCATTATTATTACCAATTGTGTTTTGGGCATATTTTTTACAACTTATCATCGTTTGCGCTCTAGACTTACAGAGCTGTGCCACTTTGGTCAATACTTAAGGCTACTCAACTCAACGCTGACTTTTGCTCAAACTTGTCTATATTATTCTACCGGACAACTAATGACCCTTTCTTATTAAGGCACTTTTCCAGTACTCTGCTCATCAGAAGATAACCAGTTTACCCCTTCATCCTAATGACTTATGGTGGGTCTTAATGGCATACACAGGTGGCTGAGTGAGCTGCAGAGCCTGGGAGAGCAGTGCTATCTCACAGCTGTCTGCTGTTCTGCTGTGCCACGAAACAATGAGAAATGCTCCTCTGGCTGTGGCCCTGAGAGGATTTATCTGCTCTCACATTCTCCACAGCCGTATTAGCCATGAACAGTCTGGACAGAATCTGCTTCGGCCCAATGTGGCAGAAGGTCTGGTGACTGGAGGAAGCATGTATTTTACGGTTCATGCTCAGCCCTGGCACATATGTACAAGATTTCTTATTTAGTATCAGCTGTAATGGTACTGTCTATCATTAATTAAGTTTTAGACCAAAACAGAAGCAGAGTTCTTGGTTTCATCTGCATAGCTCCACATGTCACATAATCGGAATCAGAATCAAACAATTGGCGAGAAAAGTACGTAAAAACCCTGGAGGAGGGGCTAGGCGGTCGGGATCAGAGAGAGGAGAGAGCCAGGGCTACTCACATATAAGGATATAAATAACTCAAACATTCATGAATCACGCTATAAACAGCTTTGAGTGTGTAAATTGACAACGGAAAACCACTTCAACATGGTTACAAAAGCAGACACAATTTTGCAAGTGATTGAGTGGTCCTCTGAGACGTTTTTGGGTGGTGGTCTTTAGCACTGGCTGTTTATCCCTGTCTTTAGTATGCTGTTTTCTTTCTTTTTTTGTATTCCTCTTCCTCCTTCTGGCCCTGGTTCAGCTGCTCTGGCCATCTGCGCACAGCTAAACAGAGGACAGAGGGATGGAAGCGGAGCACCACTGGTAGAACTATACACAGAGAAAACAAGACCCTTTTTATGCGAAGAAGACTGAATCAGGGAGTGGGGAAAAAAACTAGTTACAACTATTTCCGAGAAGCTAGCGATGATGCACAGCTTAAATGGGGACAGTGAATTGGTGTGTCAGTTTAGCTCAGTGGAAATTCAGAGTGCTGCTAAGTCTGAGTAGCGGATGAGCTCATTTTTATTTCTTTGTTTATGACCCGAGTGTTGCTCTGTTCCCATGCTCCCCAGACCAAGCCTCTTCCTCTGGGCCCAGCCTGACCGAGACATGCGTAGGTCGTCTCCACAGTCGCACTGCTAACGACAGCGCCTCTCGCTGTTTGTAAACTTTGACAAGCTTCCTGCTACTCCCCCCCTGCGCACTTCTTTTTGAGCACGTCCCACAAGGTTTTCAAAAGGTTTCCCTCATGTCAAAACAGCTGAGGGAACACGATTCAAGACAGTTGCAGTTGTTTAAGTAGAAAATGCAAAATGGGTTGTCAGCATTTTTTTTTTGTGGCTCATTCAAAGTCTTGAATTCTGGACAAATCAGGATGAGTCAAACACGCAATCCTATGAAACTAATGAGAGGGATAAGCCATCTTTACTAGGTATTCATTTTTTCAATTAAGGCTGGGCGTATACAATATTAGTATCATATTCTGGGCTCATTACCCGCTCCAGGCCAATCACAGCTTGCTATGGCAATTTTATAGTAATTATTTTCACTGTGGGTACAATATTCACTGAACTATAGTCACTCTTCCTCTCTTTGAACTCAGATGCTATTTTGTTGTGGAGTTCAAACGTCAACCCACATCAGCTGTGTGTTCTTAGCCAAGTGTGTCACTGAGCTTTGTCGCATCATTTACTCCTGCACTGGCGTAGAAATTAATGATGGCTATTTGCAGCATTCACCACCAAACATGTCCTCCCACGGCTCCCCTGTTGTGGCCCATGAGAGTTGGCTTACAGCTGATTGTAAAACGTGTTCATCTAGTTATTACTCATATGTTTTGCCCCAGATTTTAAAAGTGTATGAGTCCACTTGCAAAAAAGGCTTTGCTTGTGGTCAGCAATGTCCCATCGTTTGTTGTTGCCAAATAAAGGTCCTGTATCAGATATTTAATGTAATGGAACATAAATTGTTTGTGTTTGATGTCATAGTCACTGGGAGTGCAAATTAATTATTAGGATGTGTTGAATGTGTGAGAAAGTGAGATTTGTTCAGACTCTTGTAATGAAATATTAATGTGTAATGGATGAATATCTTGTCAGCAGCACCATAGCACCATTTCTACACGCATCTGACAAGAAGATGTATGATCATCTATGACACTCAATAAATAACCTAAAATAGAAAATACAAAATTGTATGTAGGTCTGTGCAGAGAAGAGCACATAAACCTACTGTGCTGTCTACTAGCACCCTAAATTTTGTCACTTTAATTATAATACCTTCTTGAATCCTGTTTGCCACTTCTAGATTTTGAGCCAGCTTCTGACGCTAAAATCTGCTTTATCTAACAACATTCCTGTCTTGTTTCTGCTGATTGGTGCAGACAAGCTTTCATGTCTGGTCTTGCTACTAACTCCACTACCTGTACCATTTATGTCTCCTCAGACCAGACTTCACCTGCAGAGAGCCTCTACACCCGTACAGACCCTTACTCCAGCACGGCTGAGACACGACCACTGAAAGGGAGATGAAGCCAGATGGGGTTGCCACGGCAGCGATGGAGCCAATGGAAACGCTAGAAGCCAACACACTAAATGAAGTAATCCCAGCCCCAGGAGAGGGATCTGACCAAGCAGCCGGCTCAGGTGAAGGGGGCGCAGCCCCTCAATCTCAAGCTGATGCAGAGCCGTCTAAAGCAACTCTCACCACCAAAACAAGCAGCAAGCCTTTGGGAGATTCCAAGACTCCTAATAAGAATGCCAAGACAAAACCAGGAACCACTCCAACCAAGACAACCACCACCACTTCAAAGACCCCTACCCGACTCTCTAATGGGGTCTCCAAGCCCCACACAAACGGCGTGACCAAAAAAGCCACGTCCGCTCCTGATAGAAAGGCCACTACAGTAACCACAGCAGCCAAAAAGCCAACAGGGACCACCCCGACGCCCAAGAGCACATTGAAAACAGCAGAGAAAAAGACCCCCACAGCCACGCCGCTGCCAAACGGAGCAAAGACAACAACAACCACGGCCAAGAGGACAGCGTCTGCTACTGCAACTGGAGTCAAAACCAGTAGCACCATAGCTGCTGCAAAGAAGCCTGCAGGTTTGTTAAAAGGTCACAAAAATGTGTGTGTGTGAAATGTGGAAAAGATTCCTCTTGATTATTTTGAAACACAGCAACAGCAACTGTATGCAAATCACTCTTACATTGACACACTTAAGGGAGGACACAAGCTATTGGAGCATGAACATTTTCACAGCTCCAACTAAAGCAGCGTTGCGTTGTAACATAGATGCATTCATGTCACACAAAGCTGTACATGCTGTTGGAATAGGTCCTACAAATGATGCAGAATTTAGTGGCTTATTTCACAGAAACGTGTCATTTCATGTACAAAGAACGATGTACATTCTTGTATTAGATATTACTATTTGATCAAATTTACTATTTCCATGGTTGCAATTAGTAAATCGCAGACTATTATTGCAGCAGACATATGCAGAGGAATTATCTTACCCTTTAAATTTGACCTTTACAGAAATGTGACATGTTGGAAAGTGCTCCATGAACTGACTATTAAAACCTAAATTACAAATGTTATTGCTACCGAGGTCTTCATTCAACCCAATATTTTTTTTCCTTTAGGCCCCAAACCAGTCACATCCACTGCAACAAAAACCAGCTCCACCGCATCTCCCACACCCAATAAAACCCCTGTTTCCAAGCCAACCAGGTAGGTGTGATGTTTGTTTGGAAATTTTACATTTTACAACAGCTCCTCAGTTTAAATGACCAGTTAGACTGAGTTGACCACAAGGCTATCATCTGCAGTCTCTTTTCACCAAGAGGCTTGAGAGGTTTTGTGCATTGGTTCACTCCCTACACACGTATAACTTTCTGTTTGTGTGTATTGTGGCCCGTAGCCTACTGTAGACGGAGACACATAGTCAAAATAGTGCATGCTTATGTGTATCTGCCAGATTGTGGGCCCGATGCTGAGATTGGTATCGATTGTGTCTGTAATATCATTATATCAGTGTTATGTCTTAGGTTACAGACCTGTCAGTTCCAGAGGGTTTACGTACAGGAGTGTGGGAGGCGAGGGCAGCACGAGGCAGAAGGGCACGTGTCGAAGAGCCGCTTCCTCTTGTCCTACTGTCTGAATGCAGCACACAGAGAGAATGGTGCCAGTGGAGAACGGAGGCTGAGTGCTTGAATAAATCATGTGTCCCTGCAAAGCCGTCGTCTGCTACAGAACACTGTTGAACTGAATGCTTCGTGCAGACTCTGTTCATGCCTGTGTTTGTTAGTGTCTACAGTCACATATTTATTAAACATTAAACAGAACAAAAAACATGCATCTATTTAGACTATTAACCATTTACAACTATTTGTAAATAGTTTAAAAAGGCTTTGGACGAAGCAGACGCTTGATAATTACAAATGAACAAAATTGCCAATTCTATTTAGGAACTTTCAATGGGTAAATTAATTAGAATTCTCGCTTTTCTTGCTAAAAATCAAATAAGATGAGATATATAAGATGTATATGTAACATATAAGATAGGTAAAAAATAAGACCCCACCCCACTCCAGAAGTGGGGTGGTTTTCCTTCAGATCCCACACTCCCCTGTCTCCCCCCAAGTTCTCACATTAGTCATGGTCTGATCTCATTGATGGTCCCATAGGGATTGTTAGGATTGAAGCAGACAGAGACGGATCGTGGTGTGCCAAACTCTGGAAGTTTATTTAAGTTTCTCTCAAGTTCCACTGGTTTACTTTGTTTCTTTCTCTCAGACAGAATAAAGGCAGTACACAGTTTATATAGTCATTGTCACGTCACACATCGAAAGACATACGTGTCACAAAGAGACAGTCAAATCATAGTCATAACATGGAGTCCTTGTAGAGTCCTTGTACAGTCCTGCACGTAGGCCATATTGCTATCTAATACTAACAGGATGATACATTTTTATAGGGACACATTTAATTTGGGCTGCATTGTGATGTAATGGCGGGCGTGAGTAGGGCTGGCTGCTATTCTTCCTTACTGTTGGGGGTGTGGTCAGTGAGAGTGTGTGTTGCACTTGATGCTCCTCCTCTGCTATGCAGCCGCAGACCTAATTACCAAATGGACTAAGTGGCAGTGAGTCAGGGAAAGTGAGGGGGAAGAGGCACATATATCAGAGTCATGACATTGATTCAAATGGAGTAAGGAGACATAAACCTTTTGTTTAAACGACTGCCTTGTACTTAGCTCCCAGTCGAATAGCAACAAAGTTATAGGCCCAGTAGAGCATCATATTACTGCTGCTTATTTAACAGTCATTTAATTAGCAATTCATCTTGAGAGCATTGTCAGTCATTAGCACGACAGGAAACATAACAATTATGACCTACCACAGGGGTCTCTAACCTGTAGCAACAAAAATGTGATGATACATAATGAGTGTTGATAGTGACAGTAACATCCCGACCCGCTCTTACCAAAATAGCAACACATCTTTTCCAGGGTTGCTTAAAAACTTTCTGCCATTTTTGTCTCGAAAAAGTAGATCAAATTAGTCAAAGCATAGCCCAAGTCTTTGTGAAACAAACCCATAGTGACACGCAACAGCAGAACAAAATATGTACAGTATCAGCAAGCTTCTGCTCTTGTGCACCACCATCCAAATGACACTTGGTGTCATGGCAACACAGACGTCAAGTCGGTAATTGGTTGTTTCACACAAACTCCAGGAAGTTCTAATTAAATAAAGCAAGGAATAAATAACGTTGATCACAGAAATTTTGCAGGCTGATTTAAAGAGAATAACTATGCATCAGTGCTAGAGGTGCACCGATCGATCGGTAGCCGATTATAATCGGCCGATCACGGCTTAATTTGCGTGATCGGTGAAATGTGCCGATCACAAAGACCGATCAGATGACATGAGGATTCATGCACTCAAGTTATGTTCTCTCGTCAAAACTGCGTAAACAAGCAACTCATGCAGCTATCAGTAACGGAGATTCTACAGCGGCAACAACCACACAGTAATGACGTAAGAAACAACACAAAATATGCACGAAAGTTATGGAATTTATTCCCCTCGCGCTGGGTTCAAACAGCTCATGTCCACTGCTTCAATATGCCATTGCGGAGATATCTGACTGATGTCTGTCTGCCGCAGCTTTACCAAACTGTATATTCTCACATTGACAATCCAAACCCAGCCAGAGCATGGATCTATTATAATAACGAGCCAGAGTCACACCGCGCAGACACAGCACACACACCGAACACACTCAGCAGCGAGATGCTGCCGTCTGGCAGAAACAGCCCGTGTCAGGAGTTTGCATGTTATGTTCACAGAAATATTGAATTAAGATGAGTGTAGTGGTAGTACAGACAGTCCTACAGTGTCGCAGATTTATTGTTACTTACTACGTAGTTGCGCATCGGAGCAGACAGCCGCTTGTTTATTGGATGGAAAATTAAAGGCGCTTCCCTGCTTTGGCCAAAGCAGCGTAAGCTTTCCTCTGCGCTCCAAGCACAATTTAGCGCTGCGGGACTATTCAGGATGATAAACGTAATAAACCCCTGCAAATGCTGAGATGCTAATATTACTGAAGAAAAAACATTGCCTTACTTATCTCTTCTTAATCAGTTTAGAAATGCAGCATGTACAGTAATGCTGTATTTCATAGAATTTTTTTAATGTATCTCAATGTTCTGTAACGTATACTTGTGGTTCCCAAGCTTTTTGTCTTGAGTACCCCATAAGCATTTTATTTATACTACCTAGTACCTTGATGGTTTTGAAAGATTAGTTATAAAGTGAATAACTAGTCGTATTCATTTATCATAATATTTTCAATATTTGATCGGATTGGCAATGATCGGTATTGACCGATCAAAATTTTAATGATCGGTGATCGGCCAAAAAAATCCTGATCGGTGCACCTCTAATCAGTGCACATGTGGCCAGTAACAGCCACTGCCATCGGATTTTTCAGCTCCAATAGATTTCTGGGATACCCGAGCAACTTTACATTACCCTTAAATTAAAGTAGCAATTTGGAAGGTTTTCATCTCAAGTCATCATTAAATGGCCCTAACTGGTCAAAAGGCATGCCCTTTTCGAATAGTTCTTTAACTGACTTGTTATTGTTTTCATTTCAATGTCGCACCCTCTACCGTTTAACCAATCAGAAAGTCTGTGTTCCGGGTTGCCGGAACACAGCAATGAGCTAATCTCACTGGTAAAGTAACATGTGGCCGCACTATGAAAAAAAGTCTCGGTATGATTCTCAAATCATAAATAAAAAAACATGGAATAAAACAAGGATTTCTATTGTTGTTGACAAAACTCTTGTCTATTCAGATAATATGGTCCCAGCTGGATTTGTCTGTATATCTGGCAACCTGAGTCAGGGAGCGTGCAGTACCACTTTTGGCCAGATTTTTACATAATGCTCCTTTAATCTAAGGGACTTTCAAATTAATGTTCTTTCTAAGTGGAAATCAGAAGTTCACTAAAAAGACACAATTATGTTATTTACCGTTGAGAAATTGATATACCAACATTATTTTGGCACAATAATGAGTTCAAGAGTGATAAGTAATGAGATGGAGTGGTACGACACAAAAAAAAAAACACTGTTACCACAACATGCACTGTACAGCCATACAAGTCATTTAAACTGGGTCATAAGAATGAGTGATTCTTCTACAGATGCACATGGTTCTGCTAGCTGCTAGCCTCTGTCTCCCCCTTGCTTGTTCTCTTTCTGCCAACATGAACTAAATTCTTTATTTAGAAGCCATTTGCGTAGGACCTCAGAGATTACATACAAGTAGCCACTATTCACGGTATATTTCACACATGGTGTGTGTGTTGCCTGTCAACCACTGGAGAGCGGCTGAATTTAACAAGATAAAAACTGAATGGATTATTGTTTTTATGTTTTAGGACGCCTTATGCCACATCAGTCACCCTCACACCCAATAGCAGCATGACCAAGAGTTCAGCAGCTGGACTCAAATCTGCCACCTCTAAACCCTCAACAATGCCATCAAAGCCTGCTACCTCCAAACCAACGACTCCCTCTGCTGGCAAAGCTCCCGGATCACACACATCCAAGAGCACTACTCCTGTGAAAAAAGGTAAGACCTCGGTTAAATATATAGTTCATTCACTTAACTCCTAACTATTACTTTATTTCTTGAATGTGGTTATTATTTTCACTTCTAATACAGTGCCTTCTCTTCTTTTTTTATGTAGATGTTGCTAAACCGGCTTCATCTTCAACCAAAAAACCGATACAGTCTCCTCTTGCCCGTGCGACCCCTGCAGCAAAGTCAGCCAAACAAGATTCACCAAAACCAACAACGAAAACAGATACTGCTTCCAAGAAAGTACCCCCGAGTAAGGCTGCAGATTCAAAAACACCAAACCGTTCCAAACCTGAAAGCAAGGCCACACCATCCAAGGACGCATCCAAGACCCCGAAAACGGCAGCACCAAAAACAAGCCAGAAAAAAACTGTAGGTAGCAGTACTCCCACTCCAGTGAAGCGGGGTCCCAAAACCAACGAATCTGACAAAGAGGTGGCCGTTGCCGTAGCCACCGCTGCAGCAATAGCGGCTGCGGCTAATGTTATTGCAAAAGCAGAAGAGAAGCCGTCCCTTGAGGAGGCCATGAACCAGGAAGAGCCCACTGTAGAATCACATACACAACCAGAGCCCATTAGTCAGCCAACTCCAGAAATCAGAGAACCTTCACCAGAACTGATTAGAGAACCAACCCCAGAAGCAATCAGAGAGCCTTGTCCAGAACCAATCAGACAGCCAACCCCAGAACCCTTAAGAGAACCTACTCCAGAACCAATCAGACAGCCAACCCCAGAACCCTTAAGAAAACCTACTCCAGAACAAATCAGACAGCCAACCCCAGAACCCTTAAGAGAACCTACTCCAGAACCAATCAGACAGCCAACCCCAGAACCCTTAAGAAAACCTACTCCAGAACAAATCAGACAGCCAACCCCAGAACCCTTAAGAGAACCTACTCCAGAACCAATCAGACAGCCAACCCCAGAACCCTTAAGAGAAACTACTCCAGAACAAATCAGACAGCCAACCCCAGAACCCTTAAGAGAACCTACTCCAGAACCAATCAGACAGCCAACCCCAGAACCCTTAAGAGAACCTACTCCAGAACCAATCAGACAGCCAACCCCAGAACCATTAAGAGAACCTACTCCAGAACAAATCGGAGAGCCAAGTCCAGAACCAATCAGAAAGCCAAGTCCTGAACCAATCAGAGAACCTACTCCAGAACCAATCCGAGAACTTAGCCCAGAACCAATGAGAGAACTGACTCCAGAACCACATGAATTCCAGAGAATTGCCAATGAGTCTGTGTCGTCTTTGGGGACCACAGTTTTGTCTCCTCCTTGTTCACCAGTTGGACCTGTGTCCCCTGTGAGAGAAGTGTCACATGCATCGATCCTGGACTTCCAGACTGAGGAGGGAAACCAAGACCCAGAGGGAGCCACGCTGTTGGCCTCCGCGGCCCCATTTGGAGCGTCTTTCAATGCGATGACAAAGCCCCAAACATTTTCCCCTGTTGATGCCTTTGGCTCAGAGAACCTCATGTCCCCGAATGAGAAAGAAGAGGCAGTAGAAAAGGCTGAGGAAGAGATTAATGAAGATGATGAGTATGAGGAGGAGGAAGATGAGGAACAGAGGAGATATGGTTATCAGCCATCGTCCATGATCACAGACATGAGTTCATCACAGCCATCAGAAGAGCAGGTTAGAACATCAGCTTTCGGAGGCTCTCAGGGTTGGCATGGCGACGACCTTCTCTCTGGGATGGACTCTGAAGATGTGAGCAGCTGTACGAGCAGCCGGCAGCAGGGCGTGTCTGACCTGAGCAGCACGCTGCACACGGCCATCTTAGAAGGAACACAGAGCTCTGATGCTCTGGTGGACTCTAGTCTCCGGGGCTCAGAGGGAGATGCAAATCTGACTGGCTCTCCTAATGTGGAGACACTCGCCAATGAGGAAGAAGACGAGGACGAGGAAGATGAACGTGTGGATGATATGGACTTGAGCTCAGAGAAAGTAGATGAGAATCCTAAGATGTTCTCAAATCAGGAGCATGAGGAGGAAGACGAGGATGTTGAGATGCACAGTGAAGGAAAGACTGAGAGTGGAGAAAATGTTGAGGAAGATTTGAATGAAAATGAAAGATTAGACAACCTGAATCAGTGTGGCTTTCCCGCACATTCCCCACCCACATCTTCATGGGGGCAGACAAATCCCTTCTCAGACCCCTGGGCTCAGCCTGCTTCAGGTCGTTCTGGTTCCTCCCCCAGCCCTATGTCCGATCACGATGCAGCCGACTCTGAAACACCCACCCAGTCTCCTGCACAAACCTGTTTCGACGCATCTGGCCCAACCTTTACTACTCAGTCAGAAAGTGACCATCACCACGTGTCTGCCCCAAAGGACACCAACTTCTCTGCTCCAACCGCAGATGCCCCGGTCCGCCTGGGGGACAGTGAGACCAGTACTCCAGAGGATCTGTGTGAATATGACAGCAGCTCAGGAGTCGAGTCTCGCTCTGACAAACCACACACCCCAGTGCCGGCTCAGGTTCAGCCTGACCTGGAGCAGGACCTGGGCATTCACATGGAAAAAGTGGATGGAGAGGAAGAGGAGGCAGAGACACTGCCCGCTGATGAAGTACTAGGAACAGGGCCTCCGACTGCACCAGCTTCGGCCCCATCTTCAGCATCCACATCAGGGGATGAGGCCAGTGACACTGAGGGAGAAATGCAGATCAATGATCCAGATGAACCAATCACGATGGGAGAGAGTGCTGGGTTTGACAGCCAAACTCCCACATCAAACCTCCCAGCTTTTAATGAGGATGAAGAGGTTGTCCAAGCAGCGTCTGTTGAGGCTGAAGAAGATGGAGGCGGGGCTACACCTCAATCAGCTAACTCTGTGGCTTCTTATGGTTTTGATTGTACCAATTCCAACTCTAATGCCCACTCAATGGCTGAGAGCTGTGGGAAAAGTCCTGGAATCTTCTCACTGGAGAATGAGGAGCAACTTCCAGAAGAAGCTAAGGATCCATCTCTCATAAAGGAGCTGACACTGCCGTCAGCGGGAGCAGCTGTAGAGGACCTGCTGGGTCGACCAGTCGATCTAATGCCCCTGGGCCACTCAGGGGACCTCCCTGATCTGCATGAGCACCACTACATGATCGGTGGCAAGATGGGAGCAGACCTTCTTCATGAGGCTGAGCCGCGGGAGCCTGGACACCTCCTTGACAACCAGGATTCTGGTGACTCCGATGACAACCAACCACCTTACTACTCTACCATATGTGATAAAACTGATAGTTTTCTGGAAGGTAATGTATAAGTCCATCACGTTAGCCCTGGAATGCACCTTGTCCCCACAACCCGACCCTGTACCTGTCTGTGTTCTCCAAGTGGGATAGAACGTGTAGAAGAAAAAAAGGAGAGCAAGATTGTAGGAAGAGATCTTTAAAAAAAAAAATGAACATGAAACTGAAGATTGGGGAAAAAATGACTGTAGAAATTTTCAAATGAAAGTTCCCTCTTTCAGACTGGTTATGGTTACGAGTATGGCTTAAACCTTTATAAATGACCTACTACCATTTCTAATATAATGTTCTTTTTAAGTAACACTGCATATTCGGAAACCCCTGGAGGGGCAGAGACTGAATGGTCTATAGTGACTAAGCTTTTAAGTCGTGAAGGAACATATGGAATGAAATGGACTCATTGTGTATTTATCCTTTTGTTTTTACCAATCAAATGTCATCTTTGTTTTGTATTTGACTTGTTTATCCTGTTTATTCCTTTGTTAAAGACCAGTCTCCCCTACCTTGTGTAAAGCTCCATGTTCAACAGCAGCGTATTGATGACACCACTTGCTGCTCTAACTTCATAAAGTTTTCGCTTTCGACTAAGGCTAGCTGTTGTAGCTTTTTGCTCTGAAACATTTATCAAAATAGTGTGAGAGCATTAGATCACAGTTTGTGAAATGTTTATCGTGTGCTCAAGAGTGTTATACTCTTTGCCTCAGTTGCAAATGTACACAGTACGGTATGTGATACAGGCATTTGGTTTCATGTGTTTGTTGTTACAAATTCTTTATGATTGTTCTGGAGGAAACAAACCTCACTCGTTTTATGAAGTTAACTCTTATGGACTGAATCATAGTGGATGCTTGGTTTATTTCTACAGTATCATGCATGTTTAACTAACCAAGGCGGTGTAATAGCTGGCGGATTTGAATTGACATTACACTAGAAATGTTCATAAAGGAATAATTCACTTTAGGTTTCAATATCTTTCAAAATTCCATTAAAACATCATTGCAATGCCTTCTGTTCCTGTTTCTTATTTCCCAAACATGTGGCTCGGCCGTCTATACCAGCGATTGTACACATTTCCTCTCGGATATGGGAATAACGGGTAACAGGATATGATGCAACATTGTTTAATGGTGGAGGTTTTTGTTAAATGGAATTTTGGTCAAATCAAATATTTCAGATGGTGTCCTGCGGTTCGGCATGTCCTTGAACCAACCCTCCCACAGCACACTTCCTCTCCTGTCTTCAGTGCACTTTCCTTCAAACTCAGAGCTGTTGTCTTTGTTCACATGACTGCATTCTACTGTGGATATCAAAGTTACATGTTCAACTAAATCATTTCACTGTGACTTTCCCTGACATTGGTTGGTGCCTTCCCTGAGCCTGTAGAACCTTGGTACAGTATGAACCTCCCACTCTTCAAAAGAGTGACTTTGTTTCATTTCCACATGAGACACCACTGATAACCAGTCATGCAGCCAACAGATGTACTGACTGCTGATGTATTTCTAATTTGTACATGTAAAAGGTTCATATTTAATTTAAATGAAACCAAATGCACAGTTCGATGACAAACAATTACCATTTCATGGTGAGTTACTTTTACTTGGTAAAACATGGTTCATATGTCGTGTGGCAGTGTCTTTTGAGTCCTACCTTGTTTATGTCTGATGTTTTCTGTTCCCTGATCTCTGGTCCTATTATCTGTGGTGTTTACGTATGCTTCATGAATACACCAAATGATCTTAACTGTCTGACAGGAAACCAAATATCTGACGAGGAGGATGAAGATTCTCCAGAAAGCCAGAGTGATCAGAGTGAAAACCTCACAGAAGGTTTGCCCATAGCCAATGGCCACTACTTGGCTCTTGTACCTGGCAACAGACGGCCCATTAACCCTGCTCTGGCTGCACTCATAGAATCGTGTCCTGATACTCGTGATGTTACAGAGCAGCACCAGCGGCTGGAGAAGCATCAAGAGAAGGTGCAGCAGTGTCAGGAGGAGAAGCTGAAGACGCTGGAGGAGGAGGAGGCCCACAGGCGTCAGCAGCAGAAGCAGCTGCAGGAGCAGAGACGAGAGCTGCTCCAGCTTCAGCACAGACACCGGCTGCAGTGGCAGCTGGAGCTGGAGCTGCAGTACCGCATGCAGCAGAAATACCTCCAGCAGCAACAGCAGCTGAGGAGGAGCCCCACTGGACTCATGCTCTCCCCCTCCTCAGGGCTCTGCACCATCTACGAAGCCATGGAGACCAGCGACGAGGAGGAAGAGGACCATATGAACAGGAAAAAAGATGTTATTTTAAATGGCCATAACCAGAGTGAATACGGCTCTCCAAAATGTGCATGTGCCGAGGCGATGCAGGAGCTGGAGTGGAACATGAAGGTGGACATGGTTCAGCAGCTCTTCAATCACACCATCGCCGTCTCTGAAGATGGAAGTTCTCTCCTGCTGCTCCCTGTTGGACCTGGGGGCTGCCTCAGCCCACTGGAGAGCGTCACATGGCCCCACCTTCAGTTCAGCCCTCCCACCGCTGTGGTTACCTCAGTGAGCAGCTACTCTCCAGACGGTCACGGAAGCTCATCTCCTGGAGACTGGACTGTGGTGGAGCTCGAGACTCAGCACTAAAGCCACTGCACTTTATCTACGCGCACACACACACACACACACGCTTTGAGAGATATGTGACTTTGTATAGTTAGAACTAAAATATATAATTGTTTTTCAAATAGGCCTTTTGTATTTTGACTAAATAATGTTTGATGTATGAAACTTTGGCAATGTTTAGGGAGCTATAGGAAGAGCTCATTCGTGCCAGTGCAGCCTCTAAAACCCAAACCGTTATCATAGTTTCTCTTTCATTAAGGCCACACATGGATATGTTTCATAAGGATTTGTGATACTATGTCATTTTTAATCACCTCATTCCATTTTCCTCACCATTTCTTCAGTCTCAAACTCTGACTTCCTTCTTAGTATTTTCTCTGACTTAATAGAAGCAGCACTTGTGGAGGAGGAAGGGGCGTGAGAAAGAAAGGAACCCCTTGTTTTCATGGGTGCCACTTGGACATTCGTTTCCTTCCTGGGTCCAGGCCGGCGGTTTGATGTGCTGGGTGTTTCTTTTACAGATCAACACTTGTGCACAATAGTTTGTTGATTTGTGCACAAAAGTTTAGGCTGTAGGCTACAAATATTCATGATGTATGCCGCAGATCAATTGGAAGTAAAATTACTGCTAAATAATCAAATTATTGTTACCCGCAAAGCTGCAAATCCAGTCAATGATTTCACTAACATTCTGTCCCATGTGCAATGCAGGAACATGTGGAACTTTCTACATGTTTTAGTGTAAGGGAACCCCTACACATACTGGGCCTCATGTATGAAAATTGCGCAGAAAAAGGTGTAAATTTTGGGTGTAGATCCCAGATACGCAAGATCTGACGTGGCATTTATGAACGTGTGAGATACGCACAGATCTGAGCGTACGCACCTGCGGTTGTTGATAAATGCTGCGCTCAAAACCAGCGTATTTATGAAAGTCACGCCTATAAATATTCAGAAACTGCCTGTTCCACGCCCTGTTTTTGCGACTGGTCAACAGGAAGTCGGCCAAGAAGCCGCAAAAAGCACGCACTTTTGAGTTTATTCACGTTTAAAAAATAAAATATATATATATATATATATATATAGACTGATAGAGATGAGTCTCTCCTGAAATTTCGACGTAAATAAATAAATAATAAATGACCTGCAGAATGAATGAATGAACTATAATGCTGGTGCGTGTCGCATCCTATCTCTGCTCTGCGGAGTAAAGGGCCGTGCCTGAGACAGTTTTGAGCAAGATCAGGTGCATTTATGGGGCTTTATGCACAAAACTAAGGAAAACCCACATTGCTTTGCCAGAGGTGAATGAGGCAAAACATATACGTAATTACATGTATACTGCGCAGGGTCTGCCACAGGTTGTTCGTGCATATGTAAAAATAAATATACGCTATTTATTTAGCTGTGTTTTGAACAAATTTGCAGACATTTTTTGATAGAAGTGAATACATAAATAAAGAATGAATGAATGAATGAATTCATATTGTGCAGCGGTGGCTCTCATCAATTAAGCGTCTGCAGCGTCTTCTGAATGCACTGAAGCGTTGTACACTTGCGAGAGCGTTTGCGGTCCAGATTTTACAGAGAAACTCTGGAGCCAAAACTTCTGAATGACAGCATTTGAGGAGTTATGTGGCGCGTCTCTCATGGCACCTGCTGTGTATGCACTCCGAGGAGTGCGCAGCGGGTGGACAGGGCAGTGAGACATTTGGAGTGAGCAATACCATAGTCCATCGGTCCATGCGTTAATGGGGTGTGTGTCTGTGTGAGGCTTACACAAATCTAATGAAAACATACATTGCTCTACCAGATGTGAATGAGGAATACAAATAGCCGTGCGTAATTACGCAACGCAGAGCCTGCCACAGCAATAGCTGGGTCACACATCCCTGTCGCGTAAAGTGTATTTGTATAGAGCCTTTCAATGTCCAGGATCACAAAGGGCTTCATATTTTAAAAACATACAGATCAAAATAATACACACAGAAGTCAGATTTAAAATAATTGAAACAGAAAAGGGGCTCCTCATCATGATCTGTGATTTATTCGAAGTTCGCGTGTTTCCAGAGTGTTAGACTTTTTCTGATGCGCAAATTCAAATTCCGAAACATGATGCTCCATGAAAACGCAGCTTATAATGTTGCCAGAGTGGGAACATGTTTATTGTTGTCCAAATCTTGAATTTCATGCGTGTTTTGGCGTGTTGTGACGAAGGGTGAAATGAGCGTACACATTTACACCACCTATTGACTTGGTGTAAATTCTGTGGTACCGTACGCTCACGTCCAGATTGATAAACACAGATTTTTTTGCGTAAGCATCATTTACACCGTGATTTGGCCGTACGCAAGTTTCATACACGAGGCCCACTGTACCTATGCAGACACGGGAAGAACACACTAACTCCACGTCTGGCCCCAACCTAGAACCTATTTGCTGTGAATCCAAAATAATACTAACCACTGTGCTTCCCTATTGAATTGTTTGAATTCTTATCGTTGTTATGTATTATTCCACTGTCTCCTTCCTTCATTCAGAGTTGTGATGTCACTCGCCATATTCTCAAGGACAGAATAGTGGATTAAACACCATGTCCAATTGATATCAATGTACCCCCTTCTAGTTATACAAACTGTATGAGCAAGTCCCCTTTTTGCATGTTCGCTGGGACATGGGCTGAGGATTGGACATGATGTAGACAAGACTTAGACGGTTCTTTTAAGACACATGTATAAAGATGCTAGTACTGCTCTGCTGAGTAACCTGTCTCTGATCAGCTGCTATTACTGATGTGCGTGAGACAAGATAATTGTGTTCTTGCTTTTACACGGATTTCTCTACCGCTGTTTATACAAATACTTGTATCTAAAAGCACTTTCTGTAAAGATGATACTTATGAGGTGTAATTAATAGTTACTTAATGTAACTTAAGTTCTACGAATAGGTGCGTAGTCCCTTAGGACTTCGCTAGTGGGATATCACTCGTGACCCCCAGGTCACACGCCAGAGAGATCAAAATAATTTGCTCCAATCACCAGCCACCTTCCTCTATAAATGCCCCTGCACAAGGCCGCACCCCCTCTTGAACTCTGCCAAGCCGGGCTGGCCTGATGGGCTTGTAGCTAAGGGACTACGCACCTATTCGTAGAACTTAAGTTACATTAAGTAACTATTAATTCTACGTCATGGTGCTACGTCCCTTAGGACTTCGCTAGTGGGACACAACGCGGAGGCCGTAGGAAAATGTACTCCCAGCAGGCCAGCGAAGGGTGATTGGAGCTCCGCCCGAGCAAGACCCTCACAAAGTGAGAGGACTCAGGGCAGAAGAAACAATGCGTGTTACAGGGCCACTCCTACCAAGGATACCCCCACGTAACACAGATATAGGTCATCCGTAGTCACAGGACGCCTCTCCCAAGGGCTCCTGACGTGGACTACCAGACCGACCAAAACACACATATATGTACCGCACCTGTAGGATGCCTCTCCCAAGAGCTCCTGAACCAGGGCGGAAAGTAAACCGAAGGCCCCCTCAGAGGAGGGACCTAACGGTCTAACTCAGTCCGCTGCACTCAGCACGGAATGGGCCACCGACCGGTCCGACACATCCAAAAGATAAGACCGGACGAAAGAGGAGGACGAAGCCCAAGAAGCCGCACGGCATACGTCCTCGACCGACACCCCCCTGAGGAGGGCCGTAGAGGCCGCCATCCCACGCGTGGAATGCGACCTGAAGCCCACCGGGAGGGCCAGACCCTGCGTCTGATACGCCCGCCGCACAGCCGTGGCGACCCAGTGCGCCAGCCGCTGAGCCGACAGCGGGGCGCCCCTGTTCTTGGGGCCCAGACACACAAACAGCTGGCCACCCAACCTGAATGACGACGTCATGGCCAGGTAATGCCTCAGCATTCTGACAGGACACAGAAGGTGCCGCCGCTCCTCCTCGGGGGAGGCATGCGGTGGCGGATAGAAAGCCTGATGACTCTCGACCTAAAGGCCGACGTGATGACCTTGGGGAGAAAAGCCGGATTGGGCCACAATACCACCATGCCGTCGCCCTCTCCAAAGGACAGGCAAGACGCATGGACAGAGAGCGCACACAAGTCGCCCGCCCTCTTAGCAGACGCCAACGCCAACAAGAGGGCCGTCTTAAAGCGACACACTCGGGACTCGCCTCCGCCGCCGGTTCAAAAGGCGGACCCGACAGCCCCCTAAGGACCACCCTGAGGTCCCAAACCGGGGCGTTCTCTGGAGCGGGGGCCTCCTCCTGCGTGCCCCCCGCAGAAAACGTTTAACCAACGGATGAGAGCGGGCTGTGAACCCCCCGAATCCGTCGTGACCCGAAGTAATGGCTGCCGCGAACACCGCCAAGGTGGCGACAGCCCTCCCCTTGTCAAAGAGCTCCTGTAGGAATCCCAGGACCCCCTCCAGCGGGCAACGCCTGGGATCCCAGGAACGAAAACCGCACCAGTCGCTAAAGAGCCTCCACCTCGTGGCGTAGGCCCTCACAGTGGACGGCGCCCTCGCCCCCTGAGTGGTCTCCACCACCGCAGGGGGAAGACCCAGGTCTACGAGGTTCCGCCTCTCAGCCTCCAACCCAGAGCCTGCGGCCGATTATCGGGCGTGAAAACAGGGCTCCTCCCCCCCTGGACTAGAGCCCCCGGCTCGTCCGGGAGGGCCCAGGGCTCCATCACCGCCATGCCCCTCAGGAAGGGGAACCACCGGGCATGCGGACTGTCCGGCGCCACCAGGATCACCGACCTCCTCTCCTGTTCGATCCTCCGCAGCAGGACCGGCAGGAGACGCACTGGTGGGGAACGCGTACAGCAGGCCCCCTGGCCAGGGGTAATGAGCCAGAGCGTCCACGTCTAAAGGCGGCTGGTCCGCGGCCCTTGAGGCGAACCAGGACGGGCACTGTGCGTTTCCTGCACTGGCGAAAAAAGGTCGACCACTGGACGGCCGAACCTCCGCCAGATCTCCGCAGCCACCCCTGGGGCCAGGCCCCACTCGTCCTGGAGTGGGCCCCCCCCCTGGACATCCTGTCGGCCACCACGTTACGGACCCCCGGGACGTGGCGCGCCCTGAGAGACAGGAGGTGAAGCGCCGCCCACAGCAGCGTCACCTTCGCCATGCGATGGAGAGCGGGGGACCTGGTGCCCCCCTGCCTGTTCAGATAGGAGACCACTGTGGTGTTGTCTGAGCGCACCATCACGTGTCTCCCCTGCAGCTGAGGAGCAAAGTGCAGCAGTACCCTGTGCACTGCCTCCATCTCCAGCAGGTTGATGTGACGGGCTGAGTCCGACCAGCAGCCTCCTACAGAACTCTGGCCGAGGACCCCGCCCCATCCTTCGAGCGACGCGTCCGTGAACATCTCCACGTGAGACACGGCGCCGGCCAGAGTCACTCCGTCCCGTAGAAGACCCGGAGTGAGCCAGAACCTGATGTTCGATGCTGCCACTTGGGGAACCCAGATCAGCCTCCCCCCGTCCCGGGAGGGGTGAAGCCTGAGGCGTGAGAACCACCTCTGAAAATTCCTCATGTGGAGAAGGCCTAGCCGCACCACAGCATGAGCCGCCGCCATCATTCCCAGCAGGGACCTGAGGCGCCGAGCGGGGACTCTGGGGCCCGCCAGAACCTCCCCGGGCAGATGGGTAGTGTTCATCCGTCTGTCCACGGACCATGCAGCACGGAATGTCACAGAGTCTAGCTGCAGACCGAGATAGATCATGCGCTGAGCCGGTTGCAGCCTGCTTCTACGTCATGGTGCTACGTCCCCTAGCGGACTTCGCTAGTGGGATTCACGTGCACCTATTCGTAGAACTTAAGTTACAAAGGTAACTGTTAATTTTCTCCCTGTTAACCACAAAGCCCAGGCGCTGTATGTGGGACAGGACCCAGTGCGTATGACTCACGGCCACTTCCCTGGATGAGGCCAGAATTAACCCGACGTCTGTGTAGATTAAATCCTTACCCCTGCTCCACGGCGCGAGTGCGTAGCCCAAGGGGAAAACGACAGTACTCGTAATTCCTCTCTCCCACTGCGAAGCGCAGAACCTCCTGTGTTCCGGTACTATCGGCACGTGGAAGTACGCATCTGTCAGGTCTATGGAGGACATCCAGTCTCCCTGCCTGACACACTCGAGGAGCTGCTTTGTGGGCAGCATCCGAAACTGCCGTTTAGAAATGCACTCGTTCAACACGCGCAGATCCAAAATGGGACGCACCCCGCCTGACTTCTTTGGCACTAAGAAGTAAGGGGAGTACAGCCCCCTGGTGGCCTCCTGCGGGTCTACCTCTACTGCTGCGCCTAGACTCAGCAGAGAGGAGACCTCCGCTTGCAGTGCCTCTAATGACCCCGTACCTGAGAGCGTGCTGCCCGTACGCCTCGGAATGGTGGTGGCTTCTGGGAGAATTCCAGTGCGCAACCCCTGCGCAATGTTCTCTCCAGCCATAGATATGTCAGCCATCTTTGCTCCCTCCAGATGCTGTAGAAGTCTGTGAGGAGCGGAACGGGAGCTGGAACACGAGACGTCACGGCCCCGCCCTCTCCTGGTGTTCCTAGCAGGGAGGGGGGGTGGACGAAAGGGCCGGGGGGGCACCCTGCGTCACACCGTGAGCGCCGGGGGCGGTCACGTGTCCTGCAGGCCCGACGTCATAAGTACGGGACTGCTCATCCCACGTGACTCGGCTGCTGTGCCCCCCCCTGGCTCTTGCCTCATGGAGGGGGGGGCGAGCCCCTGGAGTGGGAAACCCTGTGTTAGCCCTGTAGCTCAGACATGCTAACACGCGTTCGGCCGAAGCACACACATATCACTCACCAGATCCCTCCGCCTGACCTCTCTCTGGGAGGGCATAGTATGGATCAGAGAAACCGGAGCTCGTAGTTCGCGTAGTGCACTGCACGCCCCTCTCTGGGGCTGCAGGCCTAGCGAAGCAACGTTATGTGCCCGGGAAGTAACACAATCAGAATTCACAATATTTGACATGTTACATACCCCCAATCAGACTCAGAAAAGTAATGATGAAATGCCGGTCGGCCTTTATTGAAGGAAAAATTCTTCCACCCCGGCCTCCTCTACCATAGGGAGGTCGGTGGTGGGTGCGTTGCTCCCGCGAGCCACCCATGGGTCTGTCTGGACCCGGGGGCCTCGTCGAGAGGGGACGATGGATAACAGAGCGCGGATACGGGTCAGGATGCCTCCCGGGCCAACGCTCTCTGCCTCTGTCCCGGCTCCGTAATGGCTGGTGGGCCTCGCGCCTCGGTGCTAGGTGCGGGGCTAGCCTAGCCGAGTCTTTAGCTGCAGACTCCAGTCTCGCCACCAGGGCCTGCATGTCCGGGCCGAAGAGGGACATCTGAGAGGTGGGCAGGTCCAGCAGCTGCCTCCTCTCCGCCTCCCTGATATTAGCCAGCCCAAGCCAAAGGTGCCTGGCCCGACTTGGGCTGCTGCCATGGAGCGGCCACCATCCACAGCTAGCGTCTGGCACATGCGCAGAGTTGCCGCCGAGGTGGTCCTCGCCTGTGACAGGAGGTCTCCACTGAGCGCCTGGTCAGAAGAGAGCAACATATCCAGGGCCCCCGTGATGAATGCCATGTAGTTAGTCAATGCGAGGACCTGTGCTGCAATGGCATAACATCTATCCGGCATCGCCAAGACATCCTGTCTCGCTCGGAGGGAAGGAGAGGTCTGGTGCCGGGCCACACGAATGCGGAGGGCTGCAGGGCCATGCGGACTGAATCCTCGGTGTCCTGGCCACCATCCACGGCTAGCGTCTGGCACATGCGCAGGATCGCCGCCGAGGTGGTCCTCGCCTGTGACAGGAGGTCTCCACTGAGCGCCTGGCCAGAGGAGAGCGCCCTATCCAGGGCCCCCGTGATGAAAAGTCATGTTGTTAGCCAATGTGACGACCTGTGCCGCATTGGCATAATATCTATCCAGCCTCGGCAAGACATCCTGTCCCGCTCGGAGAGAAGGAGAGGTCTGGTGCCGGGCCACACGGATGCGGAGGGCTGCAGGGCCATGCGGACTGAATCCTCAATCACCGGTCCAGGACCAGTCCTGCACGCTGCAGTACATGTCGTACCCCAGAGCAGGCCTCTTGGCTGCTAGGGGCTTAGGCCACTCACGTGTCGCGTAATGGACGAACGGGTCCATCCGCGGGCACAACGTGGGTTGCATCCTCCTCCTTCCTCGAGTGGTGGCACCCACAGAGGTGAAGTCCTCCACCGTCTGGATCCAGCGACCACGTCCGACGCCGGAGGGCGAAGGGAACTCGGACGAACAAGAAAGACATCTCAGAATGAAGTAAGTACTGTGGTAGATCTCAAACGGCGCCAGAGTGAAAGAGGGGGTGCGGCCTTGTGCAGGGGCATTTATAGAGGAAGGTGGCTGGTGATTGGAGCAAATTATTTTGATCTCTCTGGCGTGTGACCTGGGGGTCACGAGTGATATCCCACTAGCGAAGTCCTAAGGGACGTAGCACCATGACGTAGAACTAGTACTACACTGTGCCTGTACATACAGCCCATTACATGCAGCCATTCGTTGTGGATATGAGTGTTTTGTATGGTATTTTAAAAGAACAGTATGTGGAAATGTAGAAGTCTGATTTTTTTCAAGTACAAAACACAGAGCACAGAATATGCACATAAATCCTTTGAACGTCAAACAATTAAGCTCAGCTGTACATATGGAACTTTTGAAAACTCATGGGGAATACTGCCTCCTGCTGGTCAGAGAGAATAGACACTACAGAGGCTTTGGAACTGTCTGTGGTGCTGACCTCACACGCTCAAGGCCTGATTGGACCCACTTCTGAAGGGAGGTTTTTGACTTTTAAGTCACTTTATTTATATATATCAGAATTGAATATTTCTGGCTTGACGCATAGATTAGTATTCTTTCATAAAGTTAACAACAAAGTAACATCAGTGTGGTTAACGCAAGATTTAACATGATTTAGTTGAAGCTTCCATTATAAAAATAAAAAAGCCAAACTTGCAAGTATTCATACAACATGGGTTGAAGAAGAAATACTATGCATTATCTTGGGCCATTCAAAATGAGATGTTTTACTCAGTCCCGTATCTGCCTGCAATACTCTGTGCTACCACTAAAGGGAGGAGTCATATTGTACATCATGGGGACTGGAAGTTTAGTCAACGAAGGGTCAGATAACAGTCCCGTCAGGAGTCAGGACCATAGGACAAGAAAGAAGGACAATGTAATCATGAAACACAGACTGTGAAAAGATTGAAAGAATTGTCTTGAGGGAACATTAGTATGGAAAAACAATAACTCTAATGTCTCAACAATGTCTAGGTCTCAACATTTATATATCCTGATTGTGATCAGTGCACTTGGCTCTCTGTTTACACACTTTAAACCAGTATGGAGGGACAAAACTGTCAAATTAATTTAATAAATGTCACAATCTGCAAATATTTATTAAGGTAACAGACAGCAAGACTTTCACAATCTGTAGCTTTTTATTAATAATAATGTGCAGATTGTGACATTAACATGTGTGCCAAGATTTTTTTTGCGCACACTCACACATATTTTTAACTTGGGACAGAACGTCCCCACACACTATTACTTAATCTTAAACAATTTCCTTCGCCCATCAATGACCACATTCCACCTGTCTACATCTGTGGTGCGGTCATTTCAAGAATGAAAACATTGGGCGTGTCATGAAAAGGACGCTGCTTTGCATCTGCCACATTCTTGACAATAAAGAATACAACAAAACATTGGGAATAAATTAAACAATACAACAATGTATTCATGAACAAAATACCCCAATAAACAAGTGTAACATTACAGTACAAAACCGTAAACAGAGAGCAAGACAAAGACCGCGCAGCTACAGCCTCGTCCTCCCCTTTATGCCACCCAGGTCCATAACAATAACAAGGACAAGAAACTGTGCAGAAACTTTGGACACAAAGTGATCAAAGAAGAGAGAAAACCTGAAAACATTTCCACAACAGACACAGCGTCACCGTTCATCCAAACTTGATGCATTTCAGGTTGTTTTTGAAGAAGTGCAGCTGGTATTTGAAAACTGCATCAGAAAGATCAGTGGGCCTCCGATACTTTTCATACTCTGCGTTTTTCTTCCGTGGTTGATGACCGATAGTGACGTCGCTACAGGAGGCCACCATCAGTGAACCCAGGCCATCCATAAACCATTCTAGAACAGACAACAATGAGATTGTGAATAATATGCATAGAAAGTGTACCCTTTGATATAAGTGTTCGAAAACATTCTGCAATATAATATATATAAGTATAATCCTGCAATTCTTTCATCGATTTTTTTTTTTTAGACTGGCATCATTACAATTTGTTTTCCTATTTTACACATTTCTTATATTGGCCCGGACTCATGGGCTGCACCCCCCTCTCTCCTGGGAGCCTCTTCAGTCCGGGGTCTACTGCCACAGTCCAAATCCCCCTTTCAGAATGAGCCTCCCCGAGGTTTCTCACATATTTTATTTTCCCTGCTGAGTCATTTCATGCTGATGCAGAAGGGTCTACAGACAGTGATGGAGCCCACTCCCCATGGACCAATGGCCCCTACATGTTTGATTCCCTGAGTGGGAGAAAAATATTTCTTTCAAAGTCATATAAGAATATATTCCAATAATTGCATGTATAGTATCCCCAAATACAAGGCACTGCACTGCACTGATGAACGGCTGAGGAGAAACTCTCTTGGCTCATGACGACATGTACCTGAGTGTGCGACTCTCTTTAGGAGGGGGTCAAATCTGGACTTCTGGACAGAGTCTGTACGTGCCAGGAAGAAGTTGACCACCCCATTGGCCAAAGTGCATTGTGGGTAACCTTGAAGGGTTTGGAAGCTTCCCATGGACTTCCTGTAGAGACAGCCTCCGTCATCCGGCACCCCTTCATCGTACTCAAGTGAAAAGAAAAACTGGTTTCCTTGCACTGAGCCGCCAACCTTCAACAACCCAAGAGCAACATTCAACACAAGTTCAAATGACAACACAATGGTTCAAATAACACACCACATCGAGTTCTGGCACTGCCTCCATGACATTTAGAAACTTCTCGATCTTTGTGTCTTCAGTAAACACAAAGTCGTCATCTGCCCAGAGAAAATATTTTGTTGTAACTTGGGAAACAGCCAAGTTTCTTCCAGCAAACCAACCCTAGTGAAAGACATTCAGCAAAAGTAATCATACTCAATTCCCTTTTCTACATTTTGTACATGCAACTTTGGATTTTCTATGATGACCTGGAAGTCACCAAAATGCCCGCTCAGGGCCACAACACAAAAAAAACCACAGTGCATTGTTCCCACTGCTCTCTTCTGTATAAAAGAAGGCAGTGTGTGAGTGTCAGGGACACGAGTCGCTGTCATTGTGCATTAGAAACGCTCAATTAGTAAAGGCCCTGAGCCCTCCTCAGTTTAGATTTAGATAACTATAATATTCCCAATATTTAATATCATTTTACATTTTGTAAATGAAGCCTGACAAAAACATTGAAAATGATGTCCGGCCCCTGACATCACGCTGACCTTCCGATGTGGCCCTCGGGAGCAAAAGATTGCCCTGGCCTGCATTAAATCCTCAGAGAGCAAAGTGACAGTTTGAAGCAGTTTTATAATGTTTAGCTAACATCACAGATGTTGAAGATGATGTTGACTTTGTTATGTTTCTATGTTTAAAATAGATGTACCGTATGTACAAAAAGTAAGTACGACAGTCCGGGTTTCGTAGTGCTGTTTACTGGCAGTTGAGCAGAATGACAATGACAAAATGTAACGGCAGGTTGCGCTCTATCACAGGTCACGCAGCACGTAAGATACATGTGACGTAAGGATCAAACAGAACGTGATACAATGTTGAATGATGCAGTAATGTCTCACAGCATATTCTATCACAGAATATTACATCCCCCTTCTTTTAAAAGAAAGCAAAATATATAGTATCTAAAAATTCAAACAGCTAAATAGTACATATAATTTGTAGGGTATAAAAAAAATGAAGATATTGCACTATGTTATTTAGTTTAATTATTTTCTTTTGAATGAATTAGGAACCTGTGCTAAAACTAAGAAAAATACCACAGAACAATATGGAATATTTAAACAAATAATCACAACATATGCATATACTGAACACTATGCATTAATAAACTTATTACAGGTCTAAGATAGCCCTCGGCTTAACTTCGCGACCAGAACGGGTATGGTAAGTAGCGGTAGTAGTCATAGGTGGTGGTTGTGAACTGTGCTCAGTCTTATCAGGTGGATGTTCCAGCTGAGAATGGTCACCATGGTGAGCTATGGGTGGTTCTTTAGAGTCCATTAGGTGACGACGGTTTCTCCTGTATTGCAGTCCATCTGGTGTTTGAATGTGGTAAGATCTGGCAGTGTCGGCTGCACGAATGACAGATGCTGGTTTCCAATGTCCACTTTCCTGAAAGCGAACACTTTGTCCATTGCGTAGAGCTAAGAGCGGTTTTGAAGATCTGTCATAATATTTCTTTTGATGTTTTTGACGAAGATCTCTTTTTGTAAGAGTTTCCCTGTGGCTGATGGCTTTAGGTTTGAGCTGCTGGTGAGTGCATGGAATGATGGAGCGAAGGCGTCTACTCATGAGCAGCTGTGCAGGTGTTTTAAAATTGTCCACCGGTGTGTTGCGATATTCAAGAATGCTCAGGTATGGGTCCTTGTTATCTGATTTGGCTTTTTCCATGAGCGACTTGACTGTTTGTACAGCCTTTTCTGCAAGGCCGTTGCTCTGTGAGTAGTACGGACTTGATGTTATATGCTTGAACTCCCATAAGTTTGAAAACGTTTCAAACTCCTTGCTCTTGTATTGGGGGCCATTGTCAGATATCACAGTTTCGGGGATACCATGCCGAGCAAATGTGGCTTTGAGTTTATGTATGACTGCAGAGGCGGTTGTGCTGTGGAGCTTGTCAATCTCAAAGTACCTGCTGTAATAGTCAACTGTAACAATGTAGTTAGCATTGTTCCAAATGAAAAGGTCAGTAGCCACTGTTTGCCATGGCCTGTCTGGTATTGTATGGTTGATCATGGGCTCTTTCGTGTTTGATGGCCTGTGCTCCAAACACACTGGGCACCGTGCAACCATGTCTTCTATTTGTTTGTTCATTCCGGGCCAGAACAGGACGTCACGGGCTCTTTGTTTGCACTTTTCCATGCCCAGGTGGCTTGTGTGGATTCGGGACAACATTTCTGGACGTAATGACTGTGGAACTATTATCTTTTCTCCCTTGAAAAGGATATTATTGATTTGAGACAGTTCATCCCGATAGTTCCAATACTCTGCAATCAACTGAGGACACTGTTTCTTTTCCTCAGGCCATCCGTCCTCGATTGTCTTCTTTAGCAGTGTAAACTGAGTGTCCTTGTCGGTCTCTGTCTGTATTTCCTTTAGTTTTGTGTCGCTTACTGGTAAGCTACTGTATACTGTATGCACCTGTAAGTCCATACCTTCTCTGAGGCTGTTATCTGGATCATGAAGCGACTTCCGGGAGAGAGTATCAGCGAGAGGAATGTCTTTTCCTGGTTTGTGAATGATTGTGAAGTCGTATCTTTGTAGCTGGAGAATCATTCTTTGCAATCTTGGAGGTGCTGCAGTGAGTGGTTTGCGTAAAATTGATTCCAATGGTTTGTGGTCACTTTCCACAATGACGTGACGACCATACACATATTGGTGAAAACGCTTGCATCCGAATAAGATGGCATAAAGCTCTTTTTCAATTTGTGCATAATTGATTTCGCAATCTGTGAGTGATCTGGATGCATACCCGATTGGTTTACCCTCTTGAAGCAGAGTGGCACCAAGTCCATATTTAGATGCATCAACTTGCAGCCTAAGCTCTTTCTTGGGGTCATAGTAAACTAGGACAGGGCCTGGCTCTCGGGTTATGAGTTCTTTCATTTGGCGAAATGCTTTGTCGTGTTGTGCATCCCAGACAAACGCGCTTGACTCCTTTAACAGCTGGCGCAGTGGGGCGTTGATGTCTGCGAGCATGGGGGCAAACTTTGACAGATAGTTAACCATGCCAAGAATGGTCTCAAGCTCACCTTTGTCCTTGGGTGGCTCCATATCCCTGACAGCCACAATCTTTGCGGGGTCAGGTTTGACTCCATCTTTTGTTATTAAATGCCCGAAGTAACTTACTTGGGTTGCGCAGACGGTGCTCTTGTCAGGGTTGAGCTTTACTCCCCTTTCCCTGGAGCGCTGCAGCATTGCGCGTAGATTTTTATCATGTTCTTCTCTGCTTTGGCCGTAGATGAGAACGTCGTCTACTATGGCTGTAACGCCATTGAGACCTTCAAAAGTCTCATCCATTTTGCGCTGGAATTTGTCTTGTGATGATCTGAGTCCAAATGGCAGACGCAGATATCTGTATCGGCCAAACACAGTGTTAAAAGTTGTTAGCTTTGAGGATTCTTCTGTAAGCTTTATTGCCCAATACCCAGATCTAGCATCCATTACGCTGAAGTAACATGCTCCTGATAGCTTTGCTACAATATCCTCAAGTGTTGGCAATGGGTAATGCGGGCGTTTTATCGCTTTGTTGAGATCCTTTGGATCTAAGCAAACCCTAAGTTTACCTGTGCGTGGTTTTTCCGTTGCAACCATTGAGTTAACCCATTCAGTCGGTTCTGTGACTTTGGTGATGATTTCTTGTTTCTCCATGTTTGACAGTTCATCTCTCAGGCGTTCACGCAGAGCAATGGGGACACGCCTTGGTGGATGTATCACAGGGACAGTATCGGGGTCAATATGGATGGTGCACTCACCAGGAAACAGTCCTATTCCTGTGAAAACATCTGAAAACTCATCCATAATCGACATGCCTGTTTATATCTGAAACAGATAGTATCAGTTTAATAAGCTTGAAATCAAGGCATGCTTGAAGCCCTAGCACTGGTGGTGCTAATGTGTCGACAACATGGATTCGCAGAGGTAGCTTTGTGTCCTTGTACTGGCATTCAACTTTACACTTGCCTTTCACAGCTAACCGCTCACCTCCATAGCCATAGAGTGGGCGAGACGACTGTTGTAGAGTGTGCTGCATTCCTAGTTTTTTGACAATACTTGAAGGAATAACGTTAACTGAGGCACCAGTGTCTAATTTGAATTTGACCATACTTTTGTTTGGACCCACGAGGATTTCTGCAAAAACCTGTTCTTTGTCATATTTCTGTGTCACTGCATCAATAAACAAATCATCCGAATCAGTCTCTGGGTCATTATCATCAACTGTGTGCACTGCTTTTCTTTGTTTGGAACGACAAACTTTTGAAAAATGGTTCCATTTGTTACACGACTTACACTGTTTCCCTTTTGCTGGACAGATCTCTTTTGCTGAGTGTGATTTATTTCCACAGTAGTTACATGAGTTGTAGAACTTTTTGTTTCCTTCTGTTGTGGTGAATCTCGCCGCGCTGCCAGCGTCACTGTGTTGCCGTGGTTTCCATGACGCTACATTGTTGTGAGACGGTCTGCTAACGGCATGTACTGACTGTTCATGACGGCCTGATATGGTTTTTAACTGTTCCTGCGCAACTTCATGGGAACGAGCAATGTCTATCGCCTTGTCCAGTGTTAAATCAGACCCCATGCTAAGCAGTTTTTCTCGTACTCTTGGTGAGAGGATCCCGAATACGACGCGGTCTCTAACCATTTCCTCACAGTTCGCGTATTGACAGTCCTTTACAAGCAGCCGTAAATCCGTTACAAACTGTTCAAATGGCTCGTGCGCTCCTTGTACTTTCTCGTTAAACTTGAAACGTGAAAAAATAACGTTTGTTTTGGGCAAAACATATGCTTCAAAGCGGTCATAGTATGCTTTCAATGTCTTTCTTTCGTCTTCGGACATTGTCCATGTATTATAAATATCTCTACCTTTTTCTCCGACCCAAAGAAGAAGGTAGCTGCATTTCTCGTCTTCCCCTCTTTTCTTTAACGGTCCCGACAGCATCAATTCAACATGTAACTTGAACTTACGCCAAGCTTCGGGGCAAGTTTCTTGCGTCCCAGTCCATGTGGGGTGAAGGCACTCCAGACATATCCATCTTCGTTCCTTTTACTCTGACACCATGTTATGTTTCTATGTTTAAAATAGATGTACCGTATGTACAAAAAGTAAGTACGACAGTCCGGGTTTCGTAGTGCTGTTTACTGGCAGTTGAGCAGAATGACAATGACAAAATGTAACGGCAGGTTGCGCTCTATCACAGGTCACGCAGCACGTAAGATACATGTGACGTAAGGATCAAACAGAACGTGATACAATGTTGAATGATGCAGTAATGTCTCACAGCATATTCTATCACAGAATATTACAGACTTGTGAAAGGGTAAAAAAAAAAAAAAAGAATACACTGGCATTCAAAAATAAATGAATGAATAAAACCTGCAATGCATTAGGGTATGTGCCAAACGGTTATTGTGTGTGTGTGTGTGTGTGTGTGTGTGTGTGTGTGTGTGTGTGTGTGTGTGTGTGTGTGTGTGTGTGTGTGTGTGTGTGTGTGTGTGTGTGTGTGTGTGTGTGTGTGTGTGTGTGTGTAGTCGGCAGTGGTCGTAGGAGCCATTGGCACAAACTGGTTGCCTCACACATTCCAGTCTGCCCCAGGGCCACTGTGGCTGCAGTACTTTGCTTATCACCGAGAGAATAAAAATGTGAAGCAGTTTTATCAAAATAGTTATTATATAGTTTCATAAGATAATTAGTTTTGAGCTTTCGATAAGTAAAGAATACGTTGTCATTGATAAATTGTCATAAATTCATCACATGCTAATTTCCATAAGAAACCATTTATCATTTTAGACCTGCCCACCTTAGTTTTTGGTTTGCCCTCCTGACTTCAGCAGGTGGAACTGGCCTGGTCTGCTGCGGTCAGCAGGAGTTACCTGAGCAGGTGGAACTGGCCTGGTCTGCTGCGGTCAGCAGGAGTTACCTGAGCAGGTGGAACTGGCCTGGTCTGCTGCGGTCAGCAGGAGTTACCTGAGCAGGTGGAACTGGCCTGGTCTGCTGCGGTCAGCAGGAGTTACCTGAGCAGGTGGAACTGGCCTGGTCTGCTGCGGTCAGCAGGAGTTACCTGAGCAGGTGGAAACTGGCCTGGTCTGCTGCGGTCAGCAGGAGTTACCTGAGCAGGTGGAACTGGCCTGGTCTGCTGCGGGCAGCAGGAGTTACCTGAGCAGGTGGAACTGGCCTGGTCTGCTGCGGGCAGCAGGAGTTACCTGAGCAGGTGGCATGATGTACTGCTGGACATTCTCTTCTTGTATCTTTTCTGGTTCAATGCTGTCGTCTGCCACGATCACTGGTACAGTGGGGTAGAACCTGCGGATGCTGCTCAGCAGGACTTTCAGATTGTTGTAGCGCAGAAAGGTCTTGATGGTTATGGTAACTTTTGACTTGATGTCTGAGTAGAAGAAACAATATGGAATTAAAGCCGCAAGCGGCATCTAACGGCCCTCGCCGCACCGCGCAAAGGAGGTGGCGCTGACGCGCCATTTTTTTGCCTCCCTGATGGGAGCGACACTGTGGATTTTGAATGCCTATGATTAGTGATTGTGTTTCTCTATTCAAAAGATATACCTCATTTTCCCCATGTAACACTTGAATCAGTCTGTAGGGGGCGCTAATGCTGCATTTCCATGATTTACACGTTCAGTTTACCCAAACCCAAGAGTTGAACAATCAATTCAAATTTTGTGCAAATCGGACTTTGTATGTGCAAATGGTGGCATTTAATGTTGTACAATAGCGCCCCCTACAATTTCAATTTGTTAGTCTTTTACCAATGAACACCAAAATAATACACTTTATGCCTGAAAAAAACTTGTGGCAAAGTTTGGTGATTTTGTTTGTTATGTGGGTCAAATATGAGCTCAAACAACATAAAACCTAAATACCTGTATCCCCATGTAAACCTTTACTCAGCCTGTAGGGGGCGCTAATGGGCCAATGTCATTGTTCACACAGTCATGTGACCTAGGCCCAGGAGTTGAACAACCGAGACAAGTTTAGTGCAAATCAGAGTTTGTAAATGTGCTCCTGTTTGTTCATACAATCTGTGAGTGTGTCCATACAGTCTAACATGGAGATAACATGGGAACTTCACACCTCTCAATGAAAATGACCACACTTTGGGGGTCTGTCACGCTCAGACCGTTTGACTAATTGAAACTCTATATGCAACTATTGATGGTCCATGTGTTGAGACAATGTGGAGCAATTTTCAGAATAATTAGTGAAACGGCCGCGGCTGGTTTGATGTTTGAGCGAGGTGTACTTTTAAGAGATTTAACGATTTTCTCATAGACACAGACAGGGGAGTGTTTGTGGTCGTCACGGCAACAGGGTAAAAAATAATCTTATGTTGTCATTGACTTTTTGAATCCAGATGACAAATCAGAATTATGTGCAAAATTTCAAACATTTTGACAAAACTAAATTTTATTAGGCCCATGTAAATCTTTGACATAGTCTGTAGGGGGCGCTAATGAGCCAATTTCAATATTTACATTTTCAGATGAGCAAGACCCTGGAGCTGAACAATGGATTAAAATTTGGTGCAAATCCGGCTTTGTTTGTGCAAACGGGAGCAAATTTACTTTTGTCAAAAATCCCCAAAAAAATGTCACATTTTGCCGCTCCGCTGCTCGGACAACGTTTAATTGATCCAAATTCTATATTCAATAATAGATGGGACATGGGTTTAGACCATGTGGAGCGATTTTGAGACAAATCGGTGAAACGGCCGAGGAGGAGATAATTTCCAGCCGACATGTGTGAAAAAGATCAATTTTCATTTTTCCATTTTCCAATTAAATTAATGAGCTTCCTGTTTGTCAGGGGGCGGAGCCATAATAACTTTTTTTTCATGTCTTGACCTGAGGAACATGTGTACCGAATTTCGTGGCTCTACGACAATCTTGACCTTCGACCCCCTCCCATAGGCGCAATGTAAACTGACTTTTGTAGGGGGCGCTATTCTGACATTTTTTTAGTCCCTTAAAAATAAACACCAAAAAAATTAATTTTTCACCGGTTCTGAATTTTGGGCAAAATTTCACAACTTTTCATCAATGTTCAGGGGGTCAAATTAAGGTTCAAAGTGCAGAAGAAAAAAAAAAGAAATAAATAAATAATAAATAAACCAAACCAAACCAAACCAAGGAATTTTTTTTTTTAAATCTTCGAGCAAAAACAATATAGGTTTCCATAGTAACCTATAATACAAATGATACGTCGTTTTAAAGCGAACGACGAGGCGAACGCAACTATTGGGTTCTCGGTGATTGACGAGCGCTGACGCGCTCGTCAATCACCTCGCCATCATGAGGTCACCCACCCCCCCCATAGGACCCCATTCATTACACTGTGTACTACAGCAGGAGCAAAGCCATTCAGTGCCTCCGGCACTGTTTTGTCAGTGTCTGGGCACGCGCCGTCGGGCTTGGGGGACGAATGTCCGGGCTTCGCCCGGACATTCGTCCGTAAAACAGTTGAAGGAACCCCCCTTTAATAGGACTTCAATCATTTCACTGTGTACTACAGCAGGAACAAAGCCATTCAGTGCCTCCGGCACTGTTTTGTCAGTGTCTGGGCACGCGCCGTCGGGCTTGGGGGACGAATGTCCGGGCTTCGCCCGGACATTCGTCCGTAAAACAGTTGAAGGAACCCCCCTTTAATAGGACTTCAATCATTTCACTGTGTACTACAGCAGGAGCAAAGCCATTCAGTGCCTCCGGCACTGTTTTGTCAGTGTCTGGGCACGCGCCGTCGGGCTTGGGGGACTATTCGTCCGTAAAACAGTTGAAGGAACCCCCCTTTAATAGCACTTCAATCATTTCACTGTGTACTAGAGCAGGAACAAAGCCATTCCGTGCCTCCGGCACGGATTTATCAGTGCTTGGGCACGTGCCGTCGCGTGCAGGTCACAATCTCCGGGCTGCGCCCGGAGATTGTGACTTAAAACAGTTCAACGAGTAATGCCTGGGCTTCGCCCAGGCATTACTCGTTGGAAAAGCAATAGGCCCTTACCCCGGTTGGGGCTCGGGCCTAAATATTCATCCTCTTCAATAAGATTTTGAGCAGCCCATCGATACACACTGTATGCACTTATTCAAAAATGATCAACGATTCCACTTTTTATAAACGGCCTTTTTCACAAAAGCAAACAAACAATAATAACACACATCTGAACACATGTCATGATTAAGGGTCCGTGTACTTTTGCGTTCAATAAATTTTTTATTTTTGAAGGGAAATGGAAAATCGAAAAAAGGCCATTTTGCATTTTCAGGCACACAGCAATATAAAAAAATGACCATTTTGTTTTTTTTCATTGCTTATAAGACATAGATATTATAATAACCGCATTTCAGAACTAGAAAATGCAATAATTAACCTTTTTTTTATTATGTATTTAATACATTTCGGCGTCAATCGATTACCCGGAAGTGAAACAAGTTTGTGTACTCCCACGGGATTAGTATTACCTGTGGACCCCTGATAGTTTGTGATAATCACGGAGGACGTCTGAGATTTTGCAGTGCATTCACACGGGATAAGTAATATCTGTAAAATACTGTTTTCACTGACATCTCAGATAACGGCCGCACGTGCGCGGGTCTCCCCGCTTCACGCAGTCCAGAGAGTCGCGTCTGACCACAGCAGCCAGAGACCAAGGGCTGATTAACCCGCGGCCTCCATGTTGCGTTTTTTGTTGCGGCCAAAATGCACCACAACAATGTTTTGTTGCGAGTCTCATTGACTTTGCATGTAAACCTGGTGAGCTTCTTGGAGTAGTCTGAACAAGGCTTTAGATTCAAGGTGACAATCTTTCCAACTGCTGTATACTGACCACATACCTCTAATTGAGAAGCACTGAACTAGTCTCATAACGACTGAAATGAGTCAGGGGCGACAGTTAGTAGAGATTGGCCTTTGAGCCTGAAGGTTGTAGGTTTGAGCCCATCACAAGACCTCCTCCCACTCGGACTGAAATCTACTGTTGTTCTGTCCTTGGGCAAGACACTTAACCCTGGTTTGCCTGAAGCCCCCCCCCCCCCCAACTCAAAAATGGACAAAGGGGAAGACAATGGATGGATGAAATGACCTGTTCCCGTGTCGAACATGACCGGCATCTGAGGCTGTTTGATGACGATGGGGAAGGTGGCTTCATAGTTGTCATAAGAAAAGGAAGCTATAACAGAATTTTGACACATTATTTACAATAGGCTCGTCGTCAGGAGAAGGCAGTGTTTCATGGACCGACCCAGATCTCCGGTGTGGACGTGGTACATGGTGCTCTGGTAAGATACTGAGGCCAGCGCAGCATTCAGGAGCGGCAGGCTGCTGGACTCCACGGTGAGTTCAGGTCCTTGGTTCCCTGTCATTAAAGTGGAGAAGGATGATGTTCAGAAATAGGTTAAACAGTTTACTAAACAAATGGTGGCCAAACAAGCAGTGGCATAACGCTGGGCTCACGTCACAAAGAAAATACTGTACATAGAGCTGGTCAAATGTTCTTTACTTTTAACTAAACTCTGAACAAAATCAGAAATGTATGTCAAGACCTGGAACGTTCTTGTTAGGTTAACATGCGCACCGTTCTTCCATGATAGAAGTGTGTCACTTTGGGATTGATACATAAAAGTACAAAAGTACCATCATCAAAAGAGTAAGAAGAATGAAATGTGCACCTTTAACTGTCACTTTCTTGGAGAGGGAGGCCTCTGTGCTGAGGCGGCCTTTGGCTACTTTCAGGATCACCTACAGAAGATAAACAAAACAGATTTATTTCAAAACTTAATCTTTTTTCCCACAAATCAACATACACTGTATCAGGACTAACAGATGTACAAGTAGATGCAGTTTGAAAAGGGGATTGGATCCAGGTTAAAATACTTTTCTTTAGCTGTGAACTGAAGGATAAGAAGTGTATCCTCACTTTTTCCCCATATCAATCATGCTGAAGCTTATCAGATTCAGATTAATTTATTTGCCATTTGCAGTAAAACCACATTGGAAAAACTGTGCAAGACTACCCCAGTGTGCACCAGACAGAGAAGACGACACACACCAGAGCTCCTGCCATCTTTACGGCGCCATGCGACAAACAGTAGAATAAACAGCAGAGAGCAGTAACATACATATCACAAGACAGTTTGGATAAAACACAGACGTTTTTATTATGGAAGTGAACTCCGGCCACCCTTCACCAATGTGGGCTGTCAGAGGGGGCTAGGTGAGGGGGGGATGAGCAGGAAAGACTTGGAGGGAGTGAGGAGGAAGTAGGGAGGGCGAGAGGAGCGGTCATTACACATCTCCACTGTGGAACTTACCTTTTTAAGATTATTTATCACATGTAAAACATGAATTAAAATAATGTTAAAAAAATGTCATTCAATTTTAACTTGTGTTAATGATTTGTCGTTTGTTCTTTCAGTTGTCATATGCCATGTATCTTATTCTTATTTCTGTGAAATTGTGTAGAGCACCTTTCATGTACGGACAACTCAAACTTGATTTTTTTACTGTATTGTCCTTATTTATGATGTTTCCTTTCTTAAATCATCAAGTACTTTGAGTTTCCTTGTGTATGGACTGTTGGACCGGCGTCACCGACCACCACAGTTTAGCACCAAGTATTCTCTGACAAACCTTGTAGCTGCTCCGCTGCTCGGCGTACAGCGCTAAACCTGGAACAAATGATGCATGTATCAACTCCACAGTTTGACGTACGTCAGTCGTCCCTGTGAGCTGTCCCTGTGAGCTGTCCCTGTGACCTGTACTTGTGACCTGTCCATGTGAGCTGTACCTGTGCCCTGTACCTGTGCCCTGTACCTGTGAGCTGTACCTGTGCCCTGTACCTGTGACCTGTCCCTGTGACCTGTACTTGTGACCTGTACCTGTGCCCTGTCCCTGTGAGCTGTACCTGTGAGCTGTACCTGTGATCTGTACCTGTGCCCTGTCCCTGTGACCTGTGAGCTGTACCTGTGACCTGTACCTGTGAGCTGTCCCTGTGAGCTGTCCCTGTGAGCTGTACCTGTGATCTGTACCTGTGCCCTGTCCCTGTGCCCTGTACCTGTGAGCTGTACCTGTGAGCTGTACCTGTGCCCTGTCCCTGTGAGCTGTACCTGTGAGCTGTACCTGTGAGCTGTACCTGTGACCTGTGCCTGTGACCTGTACCTGTGACCTGTCCCTGTGACCTGTCCCTGTGACCTGTACCTGTGACCTGTTCCTGTGACCTGTCCCTGTGACCTGTCTCTGTGAGCTGTACCTGTGCCCTGTCCCTGTGACCTGTCCCTGTGACCTGTACCTGTGCCCTGTACCTGTGACCTGTCCCTGTGACCTGTACCTGTGCCCTGTATCTGTGACCTGTCCCTGTGACCTGTCTCTGTGAGCTGTCCCTGTACCCTGTCCCTGTGACCTGTCTCTGTGACCTGTACCTGTGCCCTGTCCCTGTGACCTGTCCCTGTGACCTGTCCCTGTGACCTGTACCTGTGCCCTGTACCTGTGACCTGTCCCTGTGACCTGTACCTGTGCCCTGTATCTGTGACCTGTCCCTGTGACCTGTACCTATGACCTGTCTCTGTGAGCTGTACCTGTGCCCTGTACCTGTGAGCTGTACCTGGGATGGGGCTGATCCTCAGAGGTCGGGCAGTAAAACCCTGGATAGGATACTGCAGAGGGCTGTTGGCTGGAGCCAGCAGCAGTTTGGACAACTCAGACGAGGTTCTGTTGAACACAGACATGATTCTAAACCATAAACACTGAAGATGAAAATGTTACGTTTAGTCGTTGTTCTGAAATGAGACAATGAAACAAAACAAAAAAGTTTGAATTCATGTATTTTGTGCCATTTCAATATCGCAGTAATGTGTGCCATCGGTTATCATCCCTATGGTTTTTTTTCTTTTTTTTTTAAGTATAGTCCATATAATGCATCAAAATTCTCCATGATACACCGTCACATTGATGAATAAGACCATCGTACAGGGTGATATTTGTGCCAAAATTATTATTATGTCACAAAACCTACTTTTCTTCTCTCAAAGTCCTCTTTACACTCGCTTACAAAAAACATTGATCTCTAAAACCTCTGCTTTCAAACTTGAAATTCAACACGTTTTCCACATCGTATTTCTCCCTTTCAGAATCCGTCATCGAATTACAAAACATGTTCTCTCTCTCAATTCAATCTGCTTTCTATGATACAACAGAGAATACTAAAGGTTTTAGAGAGATAATAATATGTAAATAAGAGCAAAAATCGTGGTAATCCTAGTCGCTATCATTCTCTCTCATAATATTATTTTAGTTTATTTAGTTAAAAGGGACCATGTACAATTAGAACATAAATGTTTCCATTTGATGCATTGTACCAGAGTTAGCCTGAGGCTAATTTACATCTGGAGTCCCTAGCAGGGGGGCGGACAACCCAGAACAAGAACAAGACAAAATTCACAAGACACAGGGTTGACCAAGACAAGCAAACCACAAACAACAGATCTGAATAAAAACCCTACACCCTCCCCACATATAATCAAGACGAGACACATCAACATCACCAAAACAAACAAACAAAGTCAGTAGCATCGGGAGAGTGAGACCAAAGAGCCACATTGGTGCTAATGTATGCATTTTTGGCTGCCTTTTAGGTGTTTTTTGAGTTCCGTTTTGAAGCCCTTGATGGTCGTGCAAGTCTTTATAGTGTAGTTTGTTCCACAGAGTAGTGGCCTTCACTGCAAAAGCTGATTGACCAAAAGTGGAGTGACGGAAAGGTACAACGCAGTCATGTGGAGAAGCTACTCAAGTGGATCTTAAGGAACTCTCAGAGCGCTGTTTCACGAAGGATTGAAAACAGCCAGGGGCCAAGCCTCAATCTTGAAAACCAAACATAGACCCATGAAAAAGTTCTAAAATTTTCAAAGCTCAAGAAATTGTGTTTTGTCAAGATGTTACAGTAATGGTGGTTAAATGGCTTTTTATCAAAAATCTTTAAGGCTTGCTTGTACACGGACTCTAAAGGTCTTATTACGGTTTTTCCGGCCTGTCCCCAACATGTGATCAGTAGGACAGGTGGGAGAAAATAAGAGCGTGCATGAATATCCTGGCTGCTTCCAAAGAGAGACAAGATCTGATATGTCTGAAATTGACTACATTAAACCTAATTTTCTTGATCATGCTCTTTATATGTATTTTGAAATTTAAATTGGAAACCAGTGGCACAAATATCACTCCAAAGTATTGGCAAAAGATTTATTGTGTTTGGTATTTTCACAATGACGCCCGGAACGTTCTGGCTTCTTCTGCTGCTGCTGTGACTGACGTGGTGCAGGAATGCTTTGTTGGCCATAATCTCGGATAAGATCATTATTACCTTTTCTTCTGCTTGGACAGCTCGTCTTTCCTCCGTTGGAACACTTTGTCAAACTGGTTCTTTGGAATTTTATCTTTGAGTTGAACCGAGTCTGGCTGGCACATGCAGGGCTGTGGATCAAGGTGAGGCTGCTCTGGGGCCGCCCTGGAAGACATGACCGACAACTGCTCAAATCAACAGACATGCACCAAAGAATTGTGGAAGCATCTCCCCTCATGAAAATGTTTTGTATATACAGTATGTAAATAGCGTGAAAGTATCAATTTGACCAAGTAAACATATTGTACTGGCTGGTAAAAAAAAGGAAGAAAAGAAAATAGAAACAAATCCAAAATGTGTGGTTGAATAAAACTGACTGAAAGTGGCCTGTCACTTGTGGGGTGAGGTACATGCAGATCTGGCTCGGGGCTTTGGTGCGTCACTGGTTTGGTGTTGCCCTGGTGCCTGCTGCGTGGGGATTGGCTGTGGTCATTTCCTGGTGCCTGCTGCGTGGGGATTGGCTGTGGTCATTTCCTGGTGCCTGCTGCGTGGGGATTGGCTGTGGTCATTGTGCTGCTTGTTGCCGTCGTGCTGCTGCTCATTGTTCTGCTACTGGCTCCAAACACACAGAAGTAAATATAATATTCACAGGAGTGGGAAATTCTATGTATTGACATTTGATAAGGTTTGATGTTCAATGAACTCAAAATAAATATACAATCAACTCAAGGTGAAGGCCCGGCCCAACAAAACAAAAACAATACATGTGGCAATCAATCAGTGAGACAATACAGATCCAAATTCTAGAAGACAACTCCAAACTAGTAACAAAAGTCACATAACTTCCAAAAGTGTGACTGAGACATCAGAGAGTGAAGTTGGAGGCAGCTCGAGGCCTATTTGATGATGAGGTCTATTTACAAATGGTTAAAAGCAACTAAAACATTGCAAACTACTTTCATAATGATAGGAGCCCAGATACATATCCTGACTCTAGGGCCACAGATAACTTTAAAAGTGAAAGCACTGAAGGCAAACGACTAGCACTCCACACCGAATCCCCTTTCCAGTGTGTGGTGAGGTGTAACATGTGGAAAAACATGAGTCAAAAATATCGTAGCAAGGTTTGGTGACTCTCATTATTCTGAGTTAAGAAACATCAAAAGATTCAGTCCTGGCGGAGCTTGTAGACAGCTATAGCTAAAGCGGGTCAAAGGATTGACAAACTCAGACTTTCAGATAAAGATGAACATAAATACAGCAGTTAACGCCAACAGAAGTGTTCACTCCCATCAATAAGTGAAGGATGAACGTTAGAAGCTGCAAGCCGATGACATTTTTGAAGAGATCTCTGTGCCAATGACCAGTGTGCCACCCATTCAACTCCAAAACATAAAAGCAATAACAAGCGAGGTTGCCAGAACAGGAGGCGCATGCCAGACCAATTGTACATGTTTTTGGTGGTAGGGGAAACCGGCGCACCTGGAGAAAACCTACGCAGACACGGGGAGAACATGCAAACTCCACTCAGAAAGGCCCTATTCCGACCGGGATTCGAACCCAGGAGTGCTATCCACTCAGCCACCGTGCCGCCTAAATAATGATGTAATACACAAGTCGAATGGTTCCACCGTGTTCTGCAAACAAAAACTTCACCCAGACACTCTCTACAAAACCTCTTCCACCACCAGTCTTAGTTTCTTGTACCGCTTGAGTTTCAATGACATGATTGTTCATGCCTAAATCCAAAAATGCAAATTCAACTAAAAAAAGACATCTCAATATTATAAGATGATTGTTTCAAGCTTTTAACTTCTTACAGAAACATCATCTGGAAATGGAAAAAAATATGGAGCAACTGCAGATCCCAAAAGACCTAGGACAAGTTCAGCACAGATCAGAGATGCAGCGAAGAGGCCAGTGGTGCAGTGTCCAAGTGTCCAGAGTGGCAAATATAAAGCTATGTTCAAACAAAGTCCCAAGAAGTCACATGTGGCACATTTGCAACATGGATTCAGGAAGTGAAGAAAAAGTCCAAAGACGCAGAGGCCTGGGATTGTGTCACAGCTGTCATAACCCGGCTCAGTAGAAATGACAGAAACTCGCCAAACCACAGTTGCCAATTGAAATAATATTTATTAATAAACAAAGTTAATATTTTAATGAGGTGTGGAAGCCTGTAATGAGTGCTTTCAAGTGTATGTGCTGTGAGCGTACGTCTGCAGCGTTGAATGGTGTGTAGAAAATAAACCCAACGAACCAAGACGAACCAAACCAAACTAAACCAAACCATACACAAAAGGAGGCGGGACATGCAGGTGTCAGGATGGGAGCAGGATGAGCCAACAGCAATCTCTGGCATGTGCACGAGCTTTAAAGGCGCAGCTCCGTGTGTGACGCACACGCACCAATGAGCACCGCTTCCACCTGAGACGAGGAGAGGCTTTACGGCCTGACAGCGGCCGTAACACAGCAGTCAAAGATCAGCAGCATGTGATTTTAAACCAAAGGAATCAAGGTCCTGCTCTTACCATCTGCAGCGGCGCCAGTAGATCTGTCAGCTGTTCAACATTTTACTCAAACATGGTACTGCCTATCATGCTGCATGGTACTGTCCATCAGGCTACATGGTACTGCCCATCATGGTACTACCCAGAATGCTGTGGGGCTGCTTTTCTTCAACAACGAAAGGGAAGAGTGTCAGAGTTGATGGAATAATGAATGGGTTAGGGTTAGGGACAATCCTGGAAGAAAACCTGGAGGCTTCAAAAGACTGAATATTGTATAGTTTCTGGTAGTTCTAAAAATGAAGGAACAATGACTGATGAATAGTCCTCGTGAATGGTCCTGAACACAGAGGAACATCGACAGCTCACCGTGGCCGCGGCAGGTTCTCGCTCCCTCCCTGTAGAGGAACATGACTGTTGTAAACCAAGTAGGAGACGGTCAGGAGGATACTGCAACTGAGCAACAGTTTGATGAGACTCCTCCAGGTCATCTTTGGAGAAGCACCAGTTACAGTTCTGTTGGATCAAATATAATCAGAACGAATGTTGTCAGTAAAATGTGTATCGTACGAGTGTATTGAACAGCTGGTACAGGACCATCAGGTAACAATATTTAAAAAGGATAGTATGTAACATACACTCTTAGTGGTCTAATAAAGTTATTTCTAACCCAATCCAACTGTTATTGCCAGAATCTTCCTGATTACGAACGCAATCCACCAGCAGGGGTTTAGTTAGAAATGATACAAACGGTATTATGTATGAGTACTTATTTGTGTGTCAGCTTTCATTTAAATCAAAGGTGGCGTTATGCTTTGTTTGAAATAAAAAAAGAAAGAGAAACATTAAGACAAGTTTCACCCAACACACTGGCAACCCAAATGGGAGCCTCATTCTGCTCTCTGATTGAATGATAATAATCTGTTGAAAAGCAGACAAGACTAATTCCACTTTTTTATTCCAGAAAAGGTCAAACAAGTTTGTTAATATATTGTGTTGAGACAAATACAAGGAGATAGAGATAAATTTAAATGAAAATATTAAATACTGTCACTTTAAATATGTCATGATGTAATTCTCCATTTGAGCGGGCGACAGTAGCTCAGTTGGTAGAGCATTGGCCTTTGGGCCTGAAGGTCGTGGGTTGGAGCCCACCGTAAGACCTACTTCACGATTCCCAGTGATGACTGCTGTCGCTGTGTCCTTGGGCAAGACACTTAACCCCACTTTTTTTTGTTTTTTTTATTACATGTGGGGAGAAATCAAAGAAAATATGTGTTTGAAAGGTCCTTTATCAGATCCGAGTTTTGTAGATCTGACTTTGGAACCTTCCAGAGCAAAGAAAACATTTAAAAAAGGATTTTGGAAATTGAATGGACAGTTATTAGAAAATGAAGAATATTGTTTTTGTGTGAAAGAAATTATACCTGATATTAAAAATGATAGATCTATTAGTGGACATATGAATAAATGGGAAAATATAAAATTTAGAATCAGGGAAATGAGTGCTCAATTTAGTAAGAAGGAAACGGACTATGAAGCAAATTTATTTCAGCAAATACATCAATGTTGTAACAAAACCGACTTAACTCCTGATGATAAAAGTAAGTTAGTGGAACTGCAAAATAAGTTGGATTATGTCAGGTCTTGTGCTAAGTGGATAGAAGTTGGTGAAAAAAACTCTAATTTGGAAAAAAGCAGACAGCAAAGAAACTGCGTCATTTTGTTTTTCTCCCAATTATTCTCTTTTCAATTTTTAGAGGAAGACTGCAATAATATGTTTAAAGCTCACAATCTCTTAATACCCCAGATTGATGACAATTTTAAAGATATTTGTGAATCAGAATTAGAAATTGATGAACTTATGCTTTGTTTAAAAGAGTCGCCTTGAACAAATCTCCAGTTCACTTTTACAGAAAGTTTTGGGATGATGTGAGATTAATTTTATTTGAAGCCTTAAAAAGAATGCATTGAGTGAAAAGAACTGATGTCGAGCATGAAACCGGGAGTAATAACAACTCAATAATCTAAGGCCAATTACTTTGCACTGATTACAAGATTTTCTTTGGGTCAGTTGCAGAAAGACTTAAAAAAGGATCGTCAGAAATCATAAGCGAAACAAAATCTGGTTTTCTAAAAGGTAGAATTATTCACAATAATATCAAACTTGTGCTAGATTTTTGATAATTGTTTATTCAGATTCTTGGGATCAAAATGGCTTCATACTATTTTTTGATTTTCGTAAGAAATTTGATTCTGTTAAACACACATTCATTTTAAAAACATGAAAAAACTGTTTGGAGAAAGATTGAAGAGCATAATTGGGATGATAAATAATGACATAAACAGCTCCGTTTCTTTTGGACAAGGTAAAGATTGGATATTGAAAAAGGCAATCATCAGGACTGCGGATGCTCTCCATTGTTATTCATAATTGTTGCTAAGATGTTAGTTATTTTAATTATTTAGAATAGTGGTATCTCTGGAATTGACGTAAGGGGCAGACAGATGATAATCAGATACAACGCTGTTTTCAAAAGCTGAAATTCAAGTTCCTTTAGCTCTAAAAACTATAAATGTCTCTCCAAAGGCCTCTAGACTCAATAAATAAATTATAATACATGTGAAAGAATAAATATGATGATAAATGTTAATTATTTGCGTTGAACAATCATCAGTCACAACATTTATACAATATAAACCTGAAGAAAGAAGTGAAGTATTTAGTTATTGTTATAACACGAGACAAAACTCGCTCAAAGAAACTTCATTTTATGGACAATATTGACACTTGTAAATCCTTGGGGGTTACAAAGGGATCTATCCATATTTGGTCGTATTTTGTAAAACAAAAATGGGCAGTCTGTCCAGGCTGATCTATTCTGCATATTCATTATCCATACCCCGAGTTTTTAAAAAAAAAAGTAAATATATTAAATTGTAATTTCATTTGGAAAAACAAATGTCATTAAATAGCTAAAAATGATTTGATTAGATCTGAGGATGGAGGTGGAAATGCAATTGATTCAATTTGACATTATGAATGGTGTGTAGAAGATTAAGTGAATGAAAGTGTCTGTACAACATTCCTGCTCTGTCTGGTCTTATATTCCCATGTGATTTTGATTTGACAAAACTTCCAGTGAACCTTTCAGAATTCCACAAACAGGTCCTTCTGTATTTTTTATTTATTTATTTATTTATTTGATCGGGACAACACACATTAATGAACAATCATATACAAGTTGTACACAAATTGTGCCAGATTGTAGCAAAACTGCTAATTTACATCCGTAGTCCCGAGGCAGGTCACACAACAATAATAATACAAAAGGACAATATACAATTATAGAAATTACAGTTAGTTAAAATGAGTGCAGGACTGATTTACTTTAAAATGGTGTTTTAGTTGATATTTAAAAGAGCTATATGTTGGGCATTCTCTTATGTCTGTAGGAAGGTTGTTCCAAGACTGACCTCCTCTGACCGACAGCACAGTTTGTCCAAATGTAGTTTTTCTGTGTGGGATCTCCACATCTCCTCTGGAGGACGCTCGGGTGCGGAGACCTGTCACCTCTCTACCTTTAATGTAGTTTGAGAGTGGGGGCGGGGCAAGACCATGAAGTGCTTTGTAAATATTAATTTTAAAAACTGTTGCCTTAAAGTTTTGAAAATTGAGCATTTTGTGTTTCTCCAGGATATTGCAGTGATGATATGACCAAGGCTTTTGATCCAGAATTTTAATGAACTTTTTGAAGAGGGTTTCTATGGATTTGATATGTGTTTGTCCAGTGAGTGACCAGGTTGTGATACAATAATCTATGTGTGAGAAAATCATTGCGTGTAGGAACATTTTTGCTGAATTTATTGTCATAAAAGGCCTGATTTGTTTGAAGTTATGTAAATTATACTTTATTGTATTAGCTGTGAGTTTAATATGTTTTTTAAAGGAGAGAGTTGAATCCAGAGTGACCCCAAGAAACTAACTCCTCAACAAGGTCAAGCTCAGTGTCTCCAAGAACACTTTGGACCGACCCAGTTTAATAGATTTTTTTGAGAACGTCATTGACACGGTTTTCTTTTTATTTAATAGTTAAGATGAGCTGGTGAGCCACTGCTGTATGTCTACCAGGGCTGCTGTGAGAGTAGATGATGCCTCCGCAGTTGTTTTAGCAGGAGTAAAAATTACACAATCATCTGCATACATTTGAATATGAACATTTTGGCAAACATTTGGCAAGTCATTGATGTACACAGAAAAAAGTATAGGTCCCAATACAGAACCCTGTGGGACCCCAACAGGGCATTCTAGAAATGACGACACAGTGCCACCCACATTCACACACTGCCTTCTATCAGACAGGTGGGATGTAAACCAAGCAAGAGCTTCCTCGGCCAAGTTAAATTGGGTCAGTTTAGAGAGAAGGGCCTGATGGTCTACTGTATCAAAGGCCTTCTTCAAGCATAGATTTGACAGTTTCCACAAAGACACAATTGGCTGTTTCTGTGGAGTGGTTTTGGCGAAAGCCAAACTGCATGGGGTGCAAGGGGGAGTCGCCATGGCTGAGATGTTGGTTGAGCAGCTTAGCTACCCATTTTTCAGCCACTTTTGACACAACTGGGAGTATGCTAATGGGGCGATAATTTGATCTAAGAGTCTTGTCTCCAGATTTAAAAATAGGTGAGACAGTGGCCACCTTGCAGCACGATGGAACAACTCCCTCACTGATTGATAGGTTTATCAAATGAGTGAGCGGACGCACAAGTGTGTCTTTATGTGTTTTTAGGAAATGGGTGTCAATTCCGAAAACATCTTTTGCCTTTGAAGATTTAATAGACTTGATAATATTGACTACCTCCCTGTCTGTAATCTAGTCTAAATACTGGTATTTCCGAATCAAGAGGGTGGTGAGCTGTTTGTGGTGGACCGAACAATTGTTTTATTTCATTGACAGAATCAATAAAGAAGGTATTAAATGTGGTGGCCAGTTTGTATGGATCATCTATTAAGATATCATCGACCTTTATTTCCGTTATAGGTATAGCGGCTGCCTGTTGTCTAAAGCCGCGGAGAGGCGAGCTGGGTCCGGTAAAATTGTATGACGCGCTAAATTAGTAAAACAAACGAAGGCTGGATCCAGTTGCGATGACATTGATTTAATTAATAATAAACGCAGCGGTCATAGGCCAAAAAATGCGTGGTGATTATACAGAAAAAAATAGTGAATAAACTTAAGCCAGAGAAAATAGCAAAAATAAATCAAACAAACTATAATAGCGGTCAACAAAAATTATGGCCTCCCAAACAGACCTCTCTCCCCTTTCCGTGCCCCCGCAGGTGTATGCTCATTCATAATTTCGTGTACCACGCCCAAATACACATGCACGCCCACACACACACACACACACATGCAGGCCCTCACGCACACGCCGACACTCACGCATACATGCACGCCCACAATACATCACTCCTCCAAACATCCATTCATTC